CCAACACTTTTGAAAGACACCGTGGCCTGGATGCCTGTTGATAAAAGGGAAAAGTGCATAAATACTTTGTACATTATATAATACACTAATACATTTTGTAATACAAACACAACGTGTGTACACCTGACAAATTAATTCATGATATATTTAGAAAAACCTACACACAGCACTGTATTTCCTGTAGTCCACATAACAGTATTTATGTGATATACAATAATATCAAATGTGTCGTTTTATTTATAGAGCACATTTAAAAACGATTTTTGGTCGAGCCAAAGTGCTGTACATGTAATAAAAGCACAATTAAGGTAATGTATCTCAAATAAAAAAAAGTCAGTGTTATAGTCTACCTTTGCTTCTCACGTGTGCCGACTTCAGTGTTCCCCAGGACAACTGTGTAGCAACTGAAACGGCGGACACTTTACATTTCACAGTCTGTGTTCCCACAGAAACAGTCTGTGTACGGCCTGGCATCCGACTGTACTGGAGCGGTGGGGGGCACCGGGGTCCTGCTGTGATGTACTCTAAGAAAGATACACATAATATTCATACAATTCATTTTGTATCCGATGAAAACAGTCAATTTCCTAAAAAGCAACACTTTCCTAACGAAATAAAATGGAAATCACAAAATATTAGAGAAACTTAGTTGTTTTATGTTCGTTAGCTTGCCAGCTAGATTAATATGCTAACCTACGTTTGCTAGTTGTTCAGTGTAATATGCTGACCTACTATGAACAAAAGCTAGTGGTTCATATTAGGCTAGCAAGAACATGTTTACAATTGCAATCTTATACGGGTAGTCTGATACGTTCGGTCATTCATTGTAGCTGGCTCGCTCTAGGTAGCCTTCTTGTTTAGCTCGGTAGCATACACGCTAGGAACGCGACTGACCGTACGGTAAATCACCCGGAGTATACTGTCTATGAGTATTTCGTGTGTGAATGAAGACGTTCTCCTGCTATGAGATTAGGGTTGCCAACTTCCAGAAATGGAGAAACGGGACACAGGCATGCGAGCGCGCGAAGATTTTCGGGTTTCTGGCGGATTTAGTTACTTTTTTTTGTTTATTTCGGTTTTAGGGTTAGGTTAGGGTTATGTTATTTAATTATTTTGGGGGAGCCAGCCCCTAGGGTTCGAAAATGTTTTTGGGGGTCAAACCCCCCAAAACCCTCAAAATGCATAGAAACCTATACATACCTATAACACAATACAAACACAATGGTCTTACACCTGCATTAGGCTACTACATCACATTGTACATCAGCATGTTCAAATCGGATAGGTGGGCACTAGGGACATCTGGGCACCTCGATGTACAATTGGCTATTTTGTCCAAAATTAAATATTTGAAAAATTGTATTAAGTAATGCAAAGTATACATGATGTGAACATTCACGGTACATCATTATTAGACTTAATGTTATCCTTCAACCAACCCAGCAATCAGCTGACTGACTCTCACACACGCACACACGCCACACAAACAATGATGCCGCGCCCGCGGCCCACCGGAGAAAATCTCACACACACACACGTGCGAGCATTGTGCCTGCCCGGTCAACTGAGCGATCCTAGCGCCCTTCACATATAGCACACAAACACACAAGCACGCAGCCAGACACACTGTATTGCGCGCAAACAGAAAAATATTTTTTATTTTTCCCTTTACACGGGAGTCCGGTGTCAGTACCAGATATGTTCGGGCTACCAGATATGTTCGGGTGTATTTCCGTCGCCCGTCATATCCGTCATATACACACCTCCCTCTGCTCCCAGCGCTCTGCTGCCACACACCGGCCGTCTGCGGAACTGCAGCCGGAGGAACTCGGGACAGCTTGTTATGTGTGGGGTGCTATGGTGTGGTCCCATGTACTTGTGCACATAAATAATGTTTCTAATTATTTACAATTAAAAAATATATATATTCTGCGTTACTTTAGCCAACACTTTTATAAGGCCACTAGATTAGATAATTACGAAATGTGTAGATAGAATACATATATTTCAGGTTGTTATTTTGTCATTATGTTTAATGTTTTATTTACCTTTTAGTATTTTTATATAGTATCTGAACTTTGGAGAGGAGTTGGGAGACACACGACACATCAAATCACATCTACAGATCAAGGCGAAGCGAATGGAAGTACTCCCATACTCCTAGCGTGAAAATGTTTGTGAAAACGTGTGCAAAGTCTCCGAAAATCCTAAAAATAAGCCCATATTTGAATTCATCATAAAAAAACACATCATTCAGTAAAAAAAAGGCCCCACTGATCATCTACTCTCTGAGACGATTCCAGGGATGTATGGCTTGAGTTTCGACCACCAGGGAAAGTGGACAAAAGTGCCCGAGATCAGCCTCTTAATTTACCCAGGGCTTAGTGCTTGGCATGACAATTCAGGAAACTCCCCTGAGTATTTTATTATATATCTGAACTTTGGAGAGGAGTTGGGGGACACACGACACATCAAATCACATCTACAGATCAAGACGAAGCTAGTGGAAGTACTCCTAGCGTGTGAAAATGTTTGTGAAAAACGTGTGCAAAGTCTCCGAAAACGGAGCAGTGGCTGTGAAGCTAGCTTTGCGGCTAGCGGTTAGTTGTTATTGTTTGAAGTTGTTGCTATGGAAACAACATGACGGAGAAAAAATTAATATCTTCTACATAATATAATAACGGACAAAGTAAAGAATGAAGTGTAGGCTATGCCTGTTTGAAGTTGTTGCTATGGAAACAACATGACGGGGAAAAAGTATAATCTTCTACATATAATAACGGACAAACTAAAGAATGAAGTGTCGGCTATGTTTAAATGTTCAGAATTTGACCGTGATGGCCCTCTTGAGTTGCCGTAAAATATGACGAATATGACGGATGCGACGGAAATAACATATCTGGTAGCCCGAACATATCTGGTACTGACACGTCAGTACCAGATATGTTCGGGCTACCAGATATGTTCGGGTGTATTTCCGTCGCATCCGTCATCCGTGTCATATTCGTCATATTTTACGGCAACTCAAGAGGGCCATCATTTTTTATGATGAATTCAAATATGGGCTTATTTTTAGGATTTTCGGAGACTTTGCACACGTTTTCACAAACATTTTCACGCTAGGAGTATGGGAGTACTTCCATTCGCTTCGCCTTGATCTGTAGTTGTGATTTGATGTGTCGTGTGTCTCCCAACTCCTCTCCAAAGTTCAGATACTATATAAAAATACTAAAAGGTAAATAAAACATTAAACATAATGACAAAATAACAACCTGAAAGATATGTATTCTATCTCCACATTTCGTAATTATCTACTCTAGTGGCCTTATAAAAGTGTTGGCTAAAGTAACGCAGAATATATTTATTTTTTAATTGTAAATAATTAGAAACATTATTTATGTGCACAAGTACATGGGACCCCACCAGAGCACCCCACACATAACAAGCTGTCCCGAGTTCCTCCGGCTGCAGTTCCGCAGACGGCCGGTGTGTGGCAGCAGAGCGCTGGGAGCAGAGGGAGGTGAGTATATGACGGATATGACGGATGCGACGGAAATACACCCGAACATATCTGGTAGCCCGAACATATCTGGTACTGACACCGGGACAAACAAAGTCCCGTACGGGACACGCCCCTTTTGGCTCAAATACGGGGCGTCCCGGCTAATACGGGACAGTTGGCAACCCTATATGAGATACATGTAAGGCCATATCCTGGCATTGGAGTTGATATATGGAAACCATCATGGAAACGCTAGCAACTTAGTTAGCACAGTTAGCACTGTGTCAATGGCTTAGCAGCCCGAAAAACGCTTACCCATTTAAACAGTCGTGGTAGATACCTTGTTTGTTTTAAACATCATAAATACACAAACAACAATGAATACTTACAGGTTGTGTACCCGAATCTCCCGCTGGTCCAAACAAAGTAGGAACAGCATCGTCCTTCAGTGTCCTACGCTGAGCATATCCGGCATGAAACGCTGCAATGTTTGCAAAGCTTTGGTCCGTGAAATGCCGCGCACACAGTACAATACCGACTCGAACATCTGAAGGAACTGCGTTAACAAGAAATGTCAACCACTGACTTCGTCGTGGTTCTGCCCTCGGTAAGGCATACATTGAAGATTTCCCCTCACAATACAGGATCAGACCCTCGTTGGCATGACTGGATACGGTTTTGAACTGCCATAGCTCTGGGCGTGGTTACTGGGTATCGATATGTCACGATACCCAGGAAGATGAGAAATCTCCAACGAGGCGTTTTGGGGAGCCGAAGGCTTCACCTCCTCCTGGGACGAAGACAGCGACCAGTGAACCCTCTAATAATATTATTAATAATAATAATATATTAAATGTATATACCGCCTTTCAAGGTTGAATGAACATATGCACACTCGTCATATGTTATCAAAGGAAGACGGAGATGAGAGTGAATCGTGAAATTAAAGTCAGGGGAAAATCACAATTAATAAGGTATACATTTAGTTTTATCCCGGAAAAGAAAACTGCATTTTTTTCAGATTTCTTTTTCTCCAGAAAATCAGAACTCAGAATTCTGAAAAGAAAAAAATTGTTTTTTTGTCAATAAAATCCCAGAATTCTCACATGTTTTAGTAATTCAGGGATTAAAGTAAAAATTCTGAGAATTCCTCAGAAAAATCAAAAAATGTTCTGAAACATTTTTTTTTTAGAAAGTGTTTGTTTCGAGAAAAACATACTTTTAGTAAAATCCCCTTTTCTCGTTGCCCCAATCCTCTCCGTGAACCCACGCTCTGTGACGTCACGTTTTTAAAATGTTGGAGATGTGTATTTTGGTGTCTGCAGATGTTTTGTGTCTGAGGGGAGAACGTGTTCTCATCACGAGGTTCTCCGCGCTGAACGGTCCTTTACGGTTTGTTCTAATCATAATAAATAAACATGCCATATCTAAACACCACAGGACTAAAGATTATATTCATTTATACTTTTAACACTTTTTGAAGAAGGCACTCACAAGGTAGGAGAAAATATATATTTGTATTACATTACATACTTTTTACATCATTTTATAAAATAAGACACTGACAGCATTGGGGGGGGCACCGTCCGCACCTTATTGCTGACGTTTACAGTGTAGGAGAGTAACTGAGCTAACTTGGCTACATAGCTAACGTCAGAAAACTGTCCAGTAATTCAAGTAACGGCGAGTTTGATCCCGTTTAACATTAGTGATATCCGGACTAACTTCATTAGTGCTGGTAGATCACCGTCAGTGAGTTAGTTTTTAGTGATCAATCTGTGGGGTATCAAAGCTCTTAATGCACACACACGCTACATTTACTGTGATAAGAAAAAGTACAATAATAATAATAATACATTGGACTTTGATAGCGCTTTTCCTAATGCCCAAACTAGACGCTTTACATACAATCAGAAACAGAAACAGTACAAAGAAAACAAAATGAGTCTAAGAGTACACCGTTAGGCTCCTATAGCATTGCCGCTTTGTTTTCACTATCTGTTTGTGCTAGTTGTTTTGTTTTGTGCTCAACACTTGGTATGAAGATACAAACTCTAAACTAAATGCTAATTTCCTTCTGACTTACAATAATTAACAATTAATAATAATTATTAAACTGTCTCCCTCTAGAGACGTTCAGTCAGAATACACTCAAGAAGCAGCAACACATGTTTCCTTCTGACTTACATGTCGTCTTTGACACTTGTGTTTCAGGAAACATCCACCAGCTCCAACAGCCACGACCAACAAGGCGCAGATAGACAGAACCACGACCCACGAGCTCCAATTGTGCTGACCAACTAAAACCCAAAGAGACAACGTCTTCAGTAACTGCCACACAACAGACCGTCTTAAAACTCTTCACTTTGTTCTCTCCTTCTTACCTTTGACATCAGTCTCATTTTTTGGATCTGGAGTTTGGAGATTTCCTGGAAACTGTGTGGTCGTCAAAGTGTCATCAGAGATCGGTTCTGAAAAAGCAACAGTTGTTCATTATAATGAATTATCATTAAACATATGTACAAACCATGCTGGATAACACATTTGCTACACGGTGTGTGCAAGGGCTTGAAGAATGTGGACAAGTTTGCATCTTTTAGTCGACCAAAAACACGAATGATGACGCAATAGATTTTATATTTGTAAAAACACAAACGTACCAAAGACTTCCAGCTTTATGGTGGTAGCAATCCCCAGGTGTGAGATGATACATCTGTAACTCCCGTCATCAGAGGGCTTCAGGTTTCTGATCCGGAGGGAAACGTTCCCGAGTTTGAGGCCGTCTGCGAACATCTCCGTCCTCCCAGCGTACGACGGCATCGTCTGGGCCTCCTGATGCTGGTGTTCAAGGTGCAGGTGAACGTACCTGTAGGAGACATTATGGTTGAGCTCTGAGATCTGTGGTTGACTGGATGCTTCTGTTGTTGGTTTATTTGCTTTATTAAATATCCTGAAACTTTAACTTTGGTACGGACTTTTATTATGTGTACACGTCATGACGAAGCGTAATTGAATGGTAATCTAGCCGCCGCAGTACCTGTTTGGGTCAACAGGGATGTCGGGCCTCCACCACATCACCTTCAAATCCTCCATGTTGATCTGAGGCTGCACAACACACGGCAGGAGGACATCACCACCCACAGGAGCCCTGATTGGCTCAGAGGAACCAACCAACTGAGGCCGACCTGTGGAAATATAGGGATACGTCAACTTGAATGAAACACACACACACACACACACACACACACACACACACACACACACACACACACACACACACACACACACACACACACACACACACACACACACACACACACACACACACACACACACACACACACACACACACACACACACACACACACACACACACACACACACACACACACACACACACACACACACACACACACACACACACACACACACACACACACACACACACACACACACACACACACACACACACACACACACACACACACACACACACACACACACACACACACACACACACACACACACACACACACACACACACACACACACACACACACACACACACACACACACACACACACACCTTAAATTGCCATTGCTTATAATTTATATTATTATCATTATTTGTTTACACCACATTTAATTGTATTTGTTTATCACTGACGGCAATTGTCACACAGGTGTGGTTTATTTGGTATTTAGGTCACCTGTTGCACGCCGGTTTTGTGTTTGACGAAGAGGAGGGTGGGACTTTGCTCTGAAATATCTGGTTGTTTGTTTTAAGATGGACTTTTATTAATTTGTTCCCCATTTAAACGTTTAACTCTGTACGGGGTGTCGCCGCTGCAACAGTTCCACAGGGATTACACATCTCATTATGCACATACATTTACTCAGGTCTTGTACTTGAGTAAAAGTAGAAGTACTCAGACCTTGTGCTTGAGTAAAAGTAGAAGTACTCAGGTCTTGTACTTGAGTAAAAGTAGAAGTACTCAGATCTTGTACTTGAGTAAAAGTAGAAGTACTCAGACCTTGTGCTTGAGTAAAAGTAGAAGTACTCAGGTCTTGTACTTGAGTAAAAGTAGAAGTACTCAGACCTTGTGCTTGAGTAAAAGTTGAAGTACTCAGGTCTTGTACTTGAGTAAAAGTAGAAGTACTCAGATATTGTACTTGAGTAAAAGTAGAAGTACTCAGATCTTGAGTAAAAGTAGAAGTACTCAGACCTTGTGCTTGAGTAAAAGTAGAAGTACTCAGATCTTGTACTTGAGTACAAGTAGAAGTACTCAGATCTTGAGTAAAAGTAGAAGTACTCAGATCTTGAGTAAAAGTAGAAGTACTCAGATCTTGTACTTGAGTAAAAGTAGAAGTACTCAGATCTTGTACTTGAGTACAAGTAGAAGTACTCAGATCTTGTACTTGAGTAAAAGTAGAAGTACTCAGGTCTTGTACTTGAGTAAAAGTAGAAGTACTCAGATCTTGAGTAAAAGTAGAAGTACTCAGATCTTGAGTAAAAGTAGAAGTACTCAGACCTTGTGCTTGAGTAAAAGTAGAAGTACTCAGATCTTGTACTTGAGTACAAGTAAGATGGACTTTTATTAATTTGTTCCCCATTTAAACGTTTAACTCTGTACGGGGTGTCGCCGCTGCAACAGTTCCACAGGGATTACACATCTCATTATGCACATACATTTACTCAGGTCTTGTACTTGAGTAAAAGTAGAAGTACTCAGACCTTGTGCTTGAGTAAAAGTAGAAGTACTCAGGTCTTGTACTTGAGTAAAAGTAGAAGTACTCAGACCTTGTGCTTGAGTAAAAGTTGAAGTACTCAGGTCTTGTACTTGAGTAAAAGTAGAAGTACTCAGATATTGTACTTGAGTAAAAGTAGAAGTACTCAGGTCTTGTACTTGAGTAAAAGTAGAAGTACTCAGATCTTGAGTAAAAGTAGAAGTACTCAGACCTTGTGCTTGAGTAAAAGTAGAAGTACTCAGATCTTGTACTTGAGTAAAAGTAGAAGTACTCAGATCTTGAGTAAAAGTAGAAGTACTCAGATCTTGAGTAAAAGTAGAAGTACTCAGATCTTGTACTTGAGTAAAAGTAGAAGTACTCAGATCTTGTACTTGAGTACAAGTAGAAGTACTCAGATCTTGTACTTGAGTAAAAGTAGAAGTACTCAGGTCTTGTACTTGAGTAAAAGTAGAAGTACTCAGATCTTGAGTAAAAGTAGAAGTACTCAGATCTTGAGTAAAAGTAGAAGTACTCAGACCTTGTGCTTGAGTAAAAGTAGAAGTACTCAGATCTTGTACTTGAGTACAAGTAGAAGTACTCAGATCTTGTACTTGAGTAAAAGTAGAAGTACTCAGATCTTGTACTTGAGTAAAAGTAGAAGTACTCAGACCTTGTGCTTGAGTAAAAGTAGAAGTACTCAGATCTTGTATTTGAGTAAAAGTAGAAGTACTCAGATCTTGTACTTGAGTAAAAGTAGAAGTACTCAGATCTTGTACTTGAGTAAAAGTAGAAGTACTCAGGTCTTGTACTTGAGTAAAAGTAGAAGTACTCAGGTCTTGTACTTGAGTAAAAGTAGAAGTACTCAGATCTTGAGTAAAAGTAGAAGTACTCAGATCTTGAGTAAAAGTAGAAGTACTCAGATCTTGAGTAAAAGTACTCAGACCTTGTGCTTGAGTAAAAGTAGAAGTACTCAGATCTTGTACTTGAGTACAAGTAGAAGTACTCAGATCTTGTACTTGAGTAAAAGTAGAAGTACTCAGGTCTTGTACTTGAGTAAAAGTAGAAGTACTCAGGTCTTGTACTTGAGTAAAAGTAGAAGTACTCAGATCTTGAGTAAAAGTAGAAGTACTCAGATCTTGAGTAAAAGTACTCAGACCTTGTGCTTGAGTAAAAGTAGAAGTACTCAGATCTTGTACTTGAGTACAAGTAGAAGTACTCAGATCTTGTACTTGAGTAAAAGTAGAAGTACTCAAGTCTTGTACTTGAGTAAAAGTAGAATGTTGAGTTATTTAACTTTGCAATGAAATCCTCCTTCAGCACATTACGGCGCACTGCATGTCCTGCACTATGTCGTTGTGAGAGCGTTCCTGCAGAATGCACAGTTCATTCAAGCTTTTGTGTTTGTGTGTCAGCAACAGTTCTTTTGCCAGGTAATACACGTTCCTCTTGGCCGCAATTACCGCCTTTGATCTGGCACAGACCATTTGATTAACGGCAACTTGAACGTTGTTTCTTCGTAAATGCTGTGCATCTAGCACTGCTTTGTGATCCACCCCCTTTATGTGCATCTCTATAGTCTTCACCCTGAAGTTGGACGTCCCCGCGGTGAACACGTTGTGCTTTTTTTCCCTTACACATAGTGTGCAATACATTTTATGACTTTGTTTGTTATAGCACAACCACGGGAACTTCATTTTCCAGGTTCCGACAAACTTCCTTTTGTTGTGGCTGACCGGTTTCGCTTCGTGGCTTACGGGTGTAGAAGTGACATTGTCAGATGGCGTAGGCTCTGGATGGGGTGGGAGGCTAGATGACGACAACTCCGGCCCCGGGGCACCTGCACGGGCGGGGGATGCTGGCGGAGACTAGGATGGCGGCAACTCAGGCTCGGGCTGAGAGCCAACGGCAAGGCTCGCTGGCAGTACACTTTTTCCGTCACAGGAACCGGCTTTGCTGGCGGCGAAAAAGATCCCACCAGCCTCCTTTGCCCCTCCAACAGAGGGATGTCATTTTCCTTTTTGTCATTTAAACCAGGGGTTCCCAAAGTGTGGGAAGGTGAGCCTCCCCTCAGAGAACATAATCACAGCCGCGCCCCCCCTCCCTATTATTATTGTTGTTGTTGCTATAATGCAGGGGTATTCAATTGCATTTCAAAGAGAAAATGTAAGGTGAGAAAATGTCATAAAATGCTCTGTTTTCGCTACCTTCCTATTTTTTGATTGGCTGAGCGTCACCTCCTTAAAACATTAAACAATAGCTTTTTTAAACCTCTTTATGTTTTAAACATGTTGAGGTTAAGGATGGCAGCTTCCTCATACGTTGCACTCGGAGAGAAATAGTTGAGACGGAGATGTCTTTAGCAGCAGGGAGGAGTAACGTTTCACCAATGTTGTGAGGTTTACCTGCCTTAGCTATCCGTAACGCCACTCGGTATGATGCTTCGGTTGCCTTTGTATTCACAGTGCTAAATGTGTCAATGACATTTTTCTGTGACTGCAATTCCTTGAGCTTCCGGTCAAAAAACTCCTGTGGCTTGGTCACCAAACATGGGTGTTTCGTCTCAATATGACCCGGAGTTTACATGGTCTCATACTGTCATTAGCTAGCACCTCGTTGCAGATAACGCACTGTGGCAGTGGAGTGTCATCAGGACCGGTCCATGAAAATCCTAGCTTCAAATAATCATTGTCATACTTCCTCCGTTTTCTGACAGACGCTGTCTCCTCTCTCACTTTAGGTAACTTCACTAAAAATCTATCCATATTTCGCCGCTCGCATACATTTAGCTGAAGTTAACTAGCTAGATTTCACTGTTTCTCTTTATTTTTTTCTGGCGGCTGCGCCTCCCTTGAAGCTCTCTGGCGCCCCCCAGGGGAGGCACGCCTCACACTTTGGGAACCCCTGATTTAAACGATAAAAATGGTCGATCTTCTCTCGGATACATCTTTTTTTTTTGGGCTGCCTCGGCTCGAGTTGAGGGCGCTCCGAGCTGAAAAAGGGCATCCAATGACGGCAAGACGGCCCCCTGGCGGAAACACTGGCTCAGTCTCTCTCTCTCTGTCTCTCTTTCTCAGGCTCTCTCTTTCTCTGTCTCTCCCTCTTTCTCACTCACTCTCTCTCTCACACACAATGTGAAGATGTCCTGTTCTAACCTCTCTCTTTCCTTCCTTCTGTACTCTTCCAGCAGCTCTGGGTTGCTGTACACTTTCTCTCTGTGCTTCACCACCCTCACCTTGGAAGCTGCCCTTTTCCTTTCCACCTTGTCTGAACTTAATTTCAAGAGGGATTCAGTATTCATTAAATAAATTAGATTCAAATAATATATATAAATTATTTCTTTATAGTTAAAGCTCACCATACATAGCTGCACACATTTATTTAATTACCGCAACAATTTTGTTCATTACCGTAACAGCCTCCTATATGACATGGTAATGAATGCAGAGCATTACGGTAATGAATGATAATGATAATAGTTAGCATAGCCATGATGCTCCAAAAGAAATATTTGCACTATCATTCTGGCTCTATAAAAGCTACTTTTCTATTGATTTTGGAATCAATAACTTTAAAAAACCCATTATATAATACCCCATTATGGTAATGACAGTTAGTAGTGTACACTGGGGTGTCAGTAAATGGAATCTTTAACATATCTATAGCTTGACCTTGAAAGGACATCTTACCTTGTAGCCATCTTGCATCTTCTCTTCCATGCAATGCATTATGGGTATACACAAAAACTAATTTAAACAAATAGGAATTGTAATGGGGCCAAATAGGCAGTGCATCTGTAATGAACTTCACATGCTCCGGACACACATATTAATCCAAAACTATTTTAATTCATAAATCTTAGACCCAAAATAATTATATTACCAGTAAGAATGTACCATTTCAACAATTTGTTGTATTTATGTATGTATTAAATTGTGCAGATTTATTGTGATATTTTGGGGTTAAATGTAAAAAAGTAACTCGCATTACGGTAATGAATTTCTACATGGAAAAATGGTGAAAAAAATATGAATTACTACCTCAAGTAACTACAAAAATTGCAATAGTACCACATACAATACACAATGCAGTTTGATATAGAATTGATTAATTGTGTCTGTCAATTCCTCACAGACATGACCAAAGGTGGTTTCGTGAGAATCACCCATTTGAGTAAAAGTAGAAGTAGTCAGATATTTTACTTGTTTGAAAGGTGACTGAGAGACGGTCCACTGTGCAACAGAAAATAAATTAACATTATTTATTTCTATGTAATTAGTTATCAAAGCTGAAGATTAGCATCCTAATTCAGGTTAAACTGTGTCAACATGTTTTTCAGAAACATCTATCATGCTAAAGAGGAAACAGCTATCACCAATATCCTCAAAATTACCTTCAGACTCCTCCATCCAGGGGAACAGGCTCAGAAATACAGCCAGAGCCAGGCACCAAGTGAACCATGACGGATAAAAAGACATAACCATGATCAGAAACTAATTTCTTTCTAAACTGCGTCTCGAGGGTCTGCAGCATGGTCTGCAGTCGCGCTCATTCCATGTAAACCAGGAAACAGAATGCGCATGCGCAGTGGTAAGGGAAAGTACTTGCTTTAAAACCGAAAGTAAAGATCGTGGGGATTTTTAAAGTGCAAATACTTAAATACAAATTATAATTGCAAGACTAAGGATTGAATATAAATGCAAGAGTGTGTATTTAATGTAGTTTATGATGTGTAAAGTGTTGGTGTGAGCGTGGAGAAGACACGGGCCCCGTCTCAGGTCGGTTAAATGAAATCCTTGCGTCCCTCACTTGCGTCGTTTCCCTGCCTCTAGTCCCTCCTTCCAGGGAAGCAAGGAGAGACGCAAGGAAACCACGAGAAGCAGGGAAATGAGTTTTAAGAGCAATGGGACGTCCTTTCCTCCGGAGCGTCACGTGAAGCGACTTCCGTTTGTGATGACGCCGCACAGCTGATCGTCTGACAGCAGCTCTGTCCCCGTTATTTCCACACACACCCCCGCCTCTGTTAGTACACATTTACTGACACAAACATTTGTATCATCTGTTGTAGACCCAAATAAATAAAATAAAATAAGAACTAATTCTCAAAAAAGATAAACGCCATTCTTAAAATGTATAAACGAACAATAGTTTGATTAATATTGATTAGAGTGCACAATAGAAATAACATAATTGAGAGAAGAAAAAGAGATATGTTATCTATCAAAACCCAGTTAGATTAACATTCATTGGATTGCACACTTTGTGTGTTTGTGTGGATATGTAGCACATTAACATTTTAATAGCACTTAATGACTGACTGAATGGAAATGAGACAATAAATGAAAATGTAAAACGAAAAAAGCGATCATGAAAATGTTTCCAAAAAATGAATAAAATGATTTTTGACCACTTTTGTTCAGATCACATATTTGTAACTAAATGAAACATGAATTGAAACAAAACACGGTATAAACTGAGGAGTGAGTCCCGTGAGGTTCATGTATTTTCTTCACTCCGCTGGGAAACTGCTCTCATGTCAAGAAGCATCAGATCAGTGCATGCACTGCATCGTCCAATCAGTGAGCGATACACAGTAAGGGGGCGGGGCGAGTATCTGAGGATTTCATCGGAGGATGGTCTGGTGGTTCCTCGATTATCGCTCCTCGCTCCTCGATCCTCGGTCCTCCGGCAGAAATAAGAGCCATGGGACGGTACTCAAGATGGCGCAGGCAAATCAACTTCCGGTGAGACCGAGGACCGAGGAGCGAGGAAATGAAAATAGTCGAGGGGGGGTAAATATTTAGAAAGTGTTATGGGGATTTCCGGTGTAAACAATGAACAGGTTTACTGAATTATACAGAGTGGGGGAAAGTATAGACCTACATTTATTCAAGTAGCCTTTTGTTCTTGAATAGCAATAAGTGAGGTGATTTACTTAATTATCTTCATTTTAATCTACTTTGTTCTCAAGTAAAAGTCCTGCATTCAAAAATGTTCCTCATGTAAAAGAAGTAGCCTACCCAGATCTTGTACTTGAGTAAAAGTAGAAGTACTCAGATCTTGTACTTGAGTAAAAGTAGAAGTACTCAGATCTTGTTCTTGAGTAAAAGTAGAAGTACTCAGATCTTGTACTTGAGTAAAAGTAGAAGTACCAGAGTGTAGGAATACTCTGTTACAGTAACAGTCCTGCATTCAAAATGTTCCTCAAGTAAAAGTAGAAAAGTATTCTCATCAAAATATAGTGAAAGTAGCGACAGTAAAAGTAGTCGTTGTGCAGATTGGTCCATTTCAGAATAATATATATGATATGTTTTATAATGATTGATCATGAAAGTGTTCTCAAAGCTGGTGAAGGTGCAGCTAGTTTGAATGACTTTGTATACTGCAGGGTAGCTGGTGGATTTACTCCAGGTGGAACTAAAGTCTAAGTCCTTGAGTAAATGTACTTAGTTACTTTACACCTCTGCTGCAAAGAGACTCTTCCTGCCTCTCTCCTACTGATCACATCACACCTGTTATCAGCATTTCCTCCAGCAGGGAGCAGCAACAGACCATTCAAACTCTACAGGTTCACCAGACGCTCCAGCACTCATGATCCCCGTGAAGTCAAACTAAGGCCCATTCCCAAACCGCCCCCTACCCCTCAGTTTGCGCGTTCACGCGGAGGGTCCGCCATATTGAGGGCTGTTCCAAAGCAACGAGTGTGGAGGGGGAGTGGGCTATCAAGCCCTCAAACAGCGAGTCTGCAGCGGTGCTGACTTGAGACCGGTCTCCACCTGACCGGAGTCACGCTGTGTGTGTCCGTCAGGAAATACGCTGTTTACAAGTAGCCTAGTTCCAGCAAACATCCACTGATAAACTGCGATGTTAACAACCTCATGATAACCTCATGTTTTTAACTTAGGATCAAACCTGTGTTTAGTCTAGAAAAAGGTAAATGTGTGCATTTTATTATAAAGTTGTGTATATTTACAGACCGTTGCAAAAACTAAGAAGCTTATAAACATCAGGTTTAAAACTAAAAGAGCTTTGAAACACAATGAAAGATGTTTGGAGTTTTATTTGAGTTATTCATTTAAACTTTTTGTCTAAGAGATGCTGATTTGAAACCTTTGTTACATACAGTTACGGCATTTCCTGTTTCTGCCGGAGAGAGGGGAGGCCGTCCCAAAGCTTGCTGCTGTATTTACTCCCTCCATCTGACAGGAGGGAGCCTCGTTGAGCTGCGAGTGTGGCCACAGACGGAGTTCACTCCATCACGGAGGGGTAGGGTCGAGGGAGTGGTTTGGGATTGGGCCTAAATCAAACTAATAAAAACAGGAAGGATGTTCTCCTTCCTTCTAATGGCCCGCCCACCTGAACAAAGAGACACGTAGGCCTATAAACACGGAACACGGAACGACCTGAAGGCTTTTGGACAAACATAGATGTTTATGAATTAAGGTACATTTAATTTGTATAAATGTTGATGTGATGTACAGTACCAGTCAAACGTTTGGACACACCTTCTATTCAATGGTTTTTGTTTATTAAATTAGTTTTCTACTTTGTAGATTAATACTGAAGACATCCAAACAAAAAAACACATATGGAATGATCTAGTGAACAAGAAAGGGTTAAAACGAGATCATTCCATATCTTCAGTATTAATCTACAATGTAGAAAACATTTAAAAACTGTCCATTGCTTAGTTTCTGTGTGTTTAACAGGATAAGGGTCATTCCAGAATTGGCGGACATTTCATGTCCCCCATATAGAAATCTAATAATCCAAAAAGCTAAAACATGCACTTGTTGTGTTAAACATACTTGTCTTGAGACAACATGTATATAAAGTTGTAGAAAAAGTGGTTTCAAAATATTATTTAAATGATCAAATAGCTCTCGAACATCCCCTAAAATGGCATTTTTCTCTTGTCTCCGCTTCTTGGTGACCAACTTGCGTCAAATATAACATTTAAAATAGGGTTTTATTTGTATTTACTTTTGTTGGTGTTATTCTATTGATATATGTCTCTTGTAATGGTCAAATCAACTTGTAATTTTGCACAGAAGGTGTGTCCCTCAACATGCGTTCAACCCTGTTACCCAAACCTTTTTAGATTGGCACAGGAAGTGAACAAACCGTAAGTCAGATGACACACAGGAAAGGACAGCAAGCCATGTGCTAGTGCCATGGGTAGACCACAACTAAGTCGACTCTTTTATTTTTCATATATTTCCAATCTTGTCACTCTTGTAGGAGTGTGGCACTCATACAAACGCAACCCTGTTACTCACATTATGAGACTAAAACAAATTAATTTCAAATGTATCTTTAGTTAAATATCTAAGTGTGTCCATTCCTTGACAAAAGCATTACATTGTGCAGCTAGCATTAATTCCTGAGGTAAAAGCTAAAATTAGCATTGATTTGCAACCCTGTTACTATAATATATAATATAACAGGGTTGATTCTTCATTGGAAAATATTATCAGACAACATTTCTGTTGTCCTGAGTATTTATTTGTCTAATTTCTGTCATTATCTACAATCAAAAGTAATGTAGCCATTTAACCCTGTTACTTTACGCAACCCTGTTACTATCATTTTCTATAAAAAATAATTCAATTAAACCAGTTTTATCCAAAAACTACATGAGTATTTAATGTAAATGTGACTTTCTTTACTTAATACTAAAGAATTGTATTGAAGAATATTTTTGAAAATACTTGTTTCTGCTTAAGGAGTATTTGTAACAGGGTTGCACAAAGCAGGGCACACAACACATAACAAATACATCACTTTTTTTGATGGTTTATTATCTGTTTTTCCTAAATACATAATAAAATAAAAGGTTCATTTTTCAAAAGTGTTGATGTCTAAACTGTCCTCCAATTCTGGAATGACCCATAAAACACCTGTGAAACATCTGCTCTGTTTGATCAAGGACTTAAACTCCAGCTCCGATTCAAACTAAGCAATAAAGGGGATAAATGTAAAGGACATACAGATAGAAATATATAGCTAAACAAATATAGGAAGGTAAAGACGTTTAAATAAAAATCTATTATGTGCAAGAGTACATGCTTAAATCTAATCTAAAGCGTCTAACACTAGTCTTGTTTACAGTCCACGGTGCATTCAAGGACCCTGTGTTAGTTTAAAACTCTTCCACCTCTGACTACTTGTTATGATTATTCTGCCCAAAAGGTGCATTCAAGTTCAGCAGGATCACAGGGCTTTAAACTGAAATACAGCCATTATAATAATACTTTAGAGTGTGAGAGTAATAACTGACACCATCCATTCTGCTCTATCCCATCAGTTGGGGGGGGGGGGGGGGGGGGGGGGGGGGGTGGGGGGGTTATTATGGGAGTTTATTTTGAAGGAAACCGAACGTTAATATCTGAGGAGGATTTCCAAACTGTCTTTTGGGAACAATAGCAACAAGGACACCACAGCTGGGGGTTCAGTTTTTATCAGGCTACTTTAAGTATTTGCTGCAATGATCGCTGTGTGCCATTTGTGCGTGTTTAGGTTTTGGTGTGTGCGTGAAGACGACATGTTTCTGTAATGGCGCAGCTGTTAAAAACGGTTGCACAGATAAGGGTGGCGCCCATGTTTCAACAGACTTTTCGACCACAAACTATGTTATTTGTAAAGTCTCTCGTAGTAAACGCGATGTTTTTATTATTTGAGGACTTTGTACATAATTCCTCTTTTTGATCTCGAGGTTTGGCATATGTTTGCGGTCATTTCCGGAAACAAAGAAAAGGTAAACAAAAGGGGTAAACTGTACTGTGAAGTTAGTCCAGAGTCAGACGACATAAACAATGTTATTTCAAACGCATTTCCCCTATAATTAACGTATTATAGCCAATATTTACATGTTATTTTGATTATATTAAAATATGTAGTTTTACAGGAAATAATAAAAGTATATTAAAAAAACACGATTGGCTAATTTTGCAAGTTGCAATGTCAAATTTGCATTATATTTTAGTATTATCATGTGGTATATTATGATGCAATGGTTTCCTACATTCAAATGTTAAATCAATATACTATAGTTGGGACTTTTTACATGTTAAAATATACTTTTTGAAACCATAGCTGTAATAAAAAAGTACATCTAACCATAGATATTTCTAAGCACCTGTATTGTAATATCTCGCTCTTATGTGGCTTTAATGCATTTACTTGAAGTTGTTTTGTAGAAAAGCCACGTTAATGTCACGTAGAAATCAGACTGTTGCAGACCGTCCTTGATGATCAATGACTGTTGTTGCAACGCACCGTAAATTAGCCACAATTAACGTAAACAGGAGGGAAAAGTGATATTATCCTGAGATTTGACCGTTAATAACGTTATTTTTTGGCTTCCTGTATTTGTTTTTCAGCTGCAGAAATGTCAGAGAAGAGAAAAACAAGGAAGAGTTCCATCTCTGATCAGCCAATCAGCAGTGAGCAAAGGTAATGTGCTACCCTATCACAGATAACACAGCAGGCCTATGTATTTTAATCACTTCAACTCCTCCACATGTTTGTTTATGTATAATCACAATACTTTATAACATCATACAGTAACATGGCTGTAGACTCTTAAACGTGGTTTCAGCTTTAAAAGGGACTTTATTATTAAATGAACTATAAGATTATTTGTGTCTCAGTCTTCAGACCTATTAAGATGTTGGTAATTGTTCTGGCAATGCGAGGGCGGTTTTATGTATTTTCTGCGTGCAACTACCATTACAGATACAGTTTTATAGTACCTTGCAAGCAACTTTCTGAAAGTCTAAAGACATTTCCTAAAAGGGATATTTTGGATAAATTGCCCACATATTGGGAATCTTAAAGCTTTCTTTCTCGTCTGAAAACATTATTACAACTTAATAAAGTGAGTATTAACCAATACAAAATGTTCTGCACGGCAAACCCAATCCCAAAGTGACCAGCCGGAAAGTTTTACCCCTTGACTGTCACAGGGTAAAATATTGTACCATGAAATTAATTTAGACCCTTGTCCAAAACATAACGAGTTCCTTCAAAGATTCCTAGTTCAGGGAGAATGTTCCTGCAGACGTAGAGGGCCTTTAGTTATTTATTTTTAGACTATTTTGAGTATTTCTTCTCTCATTAGTTCACAGATGAATGAAGATGAGTCCACAGCTCCAAGTATCTCGGCCAGTGATCGATCCAAAGACAAGATGATATACTTTAGTAAAGGGCTCAAACGGTAATCCTACATGTTGTTGAATATTCATAAATACATTTACATTCAGCAATGTGTATAACAAGTTCAAGATTTTCTCTCTTTCTTTAGTTCACTGTCGAGCGAGTCAGCCGCTCCAAGTGATGCTTTGAGTTATCGATCCATGGGCCAGCCGTTAAGCTTTAATGTGAAAAAAAGGTAATTCAAATATTGTGCAATATCAATTAAAATGGCTGACAGGTGACTTAGCCATTTTAATGACTTATAGTCGGCTAGCCTCTGTATGTTATTTCTGTTCAGTTTGACTCATCTGATCACACCATGTCTTCTTTTGTTTAATTGGTCACTGCACTAGAGCTGCATTCAAAATATGCTTTTGTTTTGATTCTGAACACATCCTCGCCGTATCTGATACTACACTTTCACCCTACAGCGAGCTAACCGAGGAGCCAGTTAGAAAGAAACCTAAAAAAGATCTTGAACCACAGAGAGAAGCTGAGGAAGACCCTGGTAAGTTTGAATACTTATGTATGAAAAAATACTATATCGCAACTAATCACAAATAGGATTTTGGCTTCCTGGAACACAATCCCCTGCCTGTGGGACTAATAAAGGTATTCTGATTCTGAATATAATACTTTGGTTTACTCAGAGACAACGCAGCTGCATATCAAGTTAAACAAACAAGTTAAATGTATAAAAAAAATCAAGATCCTAGCGCAATGTGAAACTGAAAGCAGTGCTCTGTATATATAGAAATGTGAAAGTGCAATTAAAATATTCTGTCACTAAAATCAATGAATAATCCTGACAATTACTGGTAATCTCAATATTGGTCGAATCAATTGTTGTTAGCATTTTGTCCTTAACCGTGCAGCCCTACTTAGATTAATATGTCAACATCGGTACTGGAATTGCACATTTATCTTACTGTTACAGGGGGCAGCCATCTTTTAAAAATACAGACTAATCATAGAAATGAAATGCTGAGGAAATTTGCGAAGACATCTGAAGGTAACGGCGACCAAGAGAGCTCCCTGGACAGCATCTACACTGAACTCATCATCAGCACCGGAGAGAGTGAAGGGCCACATGAAGAACATTCGTTCAGACGACAAAGACAACCGTCTTCTGTAAATACAGTCCATCTCAATGACATCTTTAGACATGTTCTTCCCCAAGACACGACCCGCAGAATAGTCCTGACGAAGGGCGTCGCAAGGATTGGAAAATCGTTCTCTGTGCAGAAGTTCATTCTTGACTGGGCCGAGGGAAAAGCAAACCAGGACTTTGAGTTTGTTTTCAGTCTTGCTTTCCGAGAGCTGAATTTGATTAGAGGTAACAAAAGCTTGCTCAAGCTTCTGACTGATATTAACCCTGCACTTCAACATTTGAAAGAGTCAGAGGTTTTAGACAAAGCCAAGGTTTTAGTGATCCTGGATGGCCTGGATGAAAGCAGAATTAAACTGGACTTTGAGAACAAGCCGGTTAAATCGGTCACTGAAGAAACATCTGTTGGTAATCTCCTAGCAAGCCTCATTCAGGGAAACCTCCTTCCCAATGCGAACCTCTGGATAACATCCCGTCCAGCAGCAGCCAATCAGATCCCTGCAAAGTATGTCAGTATGGTGACGGAGATAAGAGGTTTCAATGACTCGCAGAAAGAGGAATACTTCAGGAGGAGATTTAGAGATGACGTGAACCTTCCTGAAAAGATCATTTCGCACATCCGCTCTTCGCAGACTCTCGACATCATGTGCCAGATCCCCATCTTCTGCTGGATTTCTGGCATATTATTCAAGGAGATCTTTGCGGGAGACGAGAAAGCACAAACTCCGCAAACCCTGACAGAGATGATGGCGCACTACCTGCTTGCCCAAACAAAACGCAGCAGCAGAAAGTATGACAAGAAGACAGAGAGAAACAAAGAGAGACTTCTGAAGACACAGAAGGAATTTCTTCTGAAACTCGGCAAACTTGCATTCGTTCAGCTGCAGAATAACAACATCATCTTCTATGACGAAGACCTTAAAGACTGTGGCATTGACCTACAAGAGGCGACCATCTACTCTGGATTTTGCTCCACGGTTCTTCGGGAAGAAGATGTCATTTCCCAGAAAAAGGTCTTCTTCTTTGTGCACCTGACCATTCAGGAGTTCTTCGCAGCCTTTTTTGTTTATGAATGTTTCATAAGCAAGAATACAAAAGAACTGGGCAACTTCCTCGACTGGAAGGACCAACAACATACCTTATACGATCTTATGAAGATGACAGTCGACAAAGTATTGGAGGAGCAGAACGGCCAGCTGGACTTCTTCCTGAGATTCCTCCTTGGCCTTCTGGTAGAACCAAACCGCAGAGTCCTCGAGGGTCTCCTGACATCGCCAGACCTGAGCCAAGATACCGACAAGAAGATCTTGACGCATCTTAAAGCCCTCAGAAGAAAGGCCCTTTCTCCGGAGAGTTGCATCAACCTCTTCCAGAGCATGGTCGAGATGAGAGACAATAAAGTCAAAGATGAGATTCAGGAATATCTCAAGAAGTCCGATCGTTCAAAAACAGAGCTGACTCCTCTGTACTGCTCTGCGCTGGCCTACATGCTGCAGGTATCAAAAGACCAGCTGGATTTGTTAGAATTGAAAAGCTTCAACACATCAGACGAAGGCAGGAGGAGGCTGATACCAGCAGTGAGGATCAGCAGGAAGGCCATGTAAGTTTATCTATTTTTTTTTACGTATTCCTTCACAAAGTAGCAACTTTTCTTGCATTATTGAAACCCTTTTGTCCACCGCTAGCCTCGCAGACTGCAAAGTGACTGAAGAATGGGTGAAACATCTTTCCTTTGGTCTGAAGTTCCCCTACTCGCCTCTAAGAGATCTGGATCTGAGCAACAATGACCTGAAAGTCTCAGGAGTCAAGCTGCTCTGTGACGGACTGTCCAATGCAGGCTGCAGACTCGAAAGGCTGAGGTATTTCCTGGAAGTTTACAAAGAAATGTGCTCTAATGTTTCCTTCTGTCTAAAGGACAATTCATACCTTCTGCGTCCGTTTGTCTGCAAGGGACCGATAGCGTCCTTAGCAATGGTCATTATCGAGTGTTAACCTCTGAAATGTCCAAATTGACCAATCAGAATAGAGTATTCAACTAAGCCGTGGAATAAATGCATGTTAAGGCAAACCCGTGGCAGTATAATGAATAGAACCCTGTTCCCATTAGATTTGACTTCAGGACTAATAGCAAGGAATGTGAACCGACCAGTATCAAACCTGGATGCTAACAAACCAAACCCTGTGTGTTCTCAGTTTGTCAGGTTGTCAGGTCACAGAGAAAGGCTGCACTGATCTGGCTTCAGCTCTGAAGTCCAACCCCTCCCATCTCATAGAGCTGGACCTGAGCTACAACAATCTGGGAGACTCTGGGGAGAAGCTGATGTCTGAGCTGAAGGAAAATACACAATACAAGCTCAGCAAACTCCCGTAAGAGCACCAGATATCTTTTCTACTGAACTGAGAGAGGAATCATGGTGGCATACCTTTACAAATACAATAGTGAGATGTATGGAAAACGACTCAAGGTTACCCTAAATTCAAGTAAAACTGCGTCATATACAGTAAAACTAGGCAACAAGGTGTCAGTGTAATGGTTGTTCTTTGTCTGAAAGATTGAACCCAAATGTTTCTTTACAGTCTTGAACATGGTGGAAGTCACCGGATGATAGATGGACTAAAGAAATGTAAGTATTTGTGAAAAACCTGGATATCTGGTTATTGTCCTGATCACGGTAATATATTGCAAATAGTCCTGAAGGTAAGGTACTTATTCTGCAATCTACACTACCAAAGTAAAGTGTTTTCTTACCTTCAGATGCCTGTGAGCTCACTCTGGACCCCAACACAGTCCACAAGAACCTCCTTCTCTCTGAAGGGAACAGAAAGGTGACCTGGGTTGAAGTCGAGCAGCCGCATCCCGATCATGAGGAAAGGTTTGTTACCTGCCAACAGGTGTTGTGTGAACAAGCTCTCGACGGGCGCTCCTACTGGGAGATGGAGGTGTTGGAGCCCTTCATGGTTGGATTAACGTACAAATCCATTGGCAGGGAAGGGCATGATGGCAAACTGGAAAGCAACGACAAGTCCTGGTGTCTGTTTTGCTCCAATGATGGTTGTTTTGTTACGGGCGATGGAGAGAAAGTCAGTGTGACTTCACATCATTCACGCTCCAGTCGGGTGGGGGTGTATCTGGATTGGCCGGCCGGCAATCTGTCTTTCTACAGGGTTTCCTCCGACATTCGGACCCGCCTCCATACCTTTAAAACAACGTTCAACGCGCCGCTCTATCCCGCAGTTGGTCTTCACACTGTCCCCAAGAACTCACAGTCTTTTGCCTTGTTTTGCTAATGACATGTGGGAGGTGGAATAGAGAGAGTAGGTTCGAGTCCCACTGCAGTCTGCATGTCGTGGTGTCCCTGGGAAAGACACTTCACCCCAAATGGCTCCTGTAGGGTTTGCCCACAGTATAGATGTATATTGATGTATGTAAGTTGCTTTCGGTAAAAGTGTCCAATAAGTGACATGTGATGTTGATCCAGTCAAGAGGTACACAGTGATACAGCTGATCGATTACAGCCTTGTAAAGAAGTCATTTTGTCGCATGATGAAGTTTAGTTTCTTTGCCTTTTCTATTGACGAAGGGTCGTCAACGCAAGCACTGTGACGGAAATATCCTGTCACTTCAGTACAAAGACTTAAATATGCAAATAAGTAAATAAGTAATAATAAAAAAAGACTTGCCACTGACATAGAATGGCTGCTTATTAATCCAATTGCATTAACAATGGTTTGTATCTTGGTTGTTGACTGCACTTATTGTAGGTCGCTTTGGACAAAGGCATAATTTCAATGATATGTAAATGTACAGTATAACCTAGCTTCTGTAATATAAGCGTAATTCCCACAAGAAATGCTTGTTATTTTTACGAAAAAAATAACAAATACAAATAAAGACAAAACAACCAAAAACATGCTACGACTTTAGAAACATTCCCAACTCTCAAGAGACGAGAGTATAGCGCTTTTTTAAAATCGACTAGATTTGAAGCCAGGCCTTTTCGTTTTTATATGTTTTTGGGTTGTAAATAGGTTGTATTTTTTCAGTTACGTTTAAAGCATTAACTTTTATTATTTTCACTATGATTTTTAAATGATTTAATATCTTTACCTGTATTCGGGGGGAGGGGTGAACAAGGTTCAACATTTCATGTCGTGTGTAGTTTTGCAGGACTTCTAGCTATGTCCAAATACAGAGAAAACTAAGCTTGTGTGTGCCGTGACTTTAGAAAAAAATGCAATAATGCATTAAAGACTTTAGCTGCTCTTTCCTTTATCTACATCTGTGTGTTTAGATTCTAGCTATGACCAAATACAGAGAAACTGAGTTGGCCTTAACTTTAGAAAAAGTAAATAATGCATTACAGACTTTAGCTGCTCTTCCTTCATCTACTCTTTAATCCTCAACACTATCATCCATATACATATATCCACCGTAACAAGATATCTTGTATCTAAGCTTTCAGATTACAGCAGATCTGCAGTGACATCAGAAGGAGTCATGTGATCACATTGTTAAAATAAGACCATAAAACATTTTAGGGAAGTTTCCAACAACAGAGACAGTTGTTCGGCTTTATCATCCTGAACGTCACCAAGCGCTCCATCCCAGCTGTGTGCGTCACTCTTTAGTGTCCCCTGGTCTCCCAGCTGTGTGCGTCACTCTTTAGTAATAATAATAATAATAATGCATTTTATTTATATAGCGCTTTTCACAACTCAAAGACGCTTTACAGTATGAGGGAGGGTAGACAAACAAGGACAGGCAAACAAGTAAGTAAAAAATAAAAAGGCAGTCAAGAGGAAGTTGATTGAGAGGGGGGGGGGGGGGCTTATGGGTAGACAGAGTTGAAAAGATGTGTTTTGAGGCGGGACTGAAAGACTGTGAGGGACTCAGAGTCACGGAGATCTTGGGGGAGGGACTTCCAGAGCCGAGGAGCTGCCACTGAGAAGGCTCTGTCCCCAAAGCTGCAGAGTGTGGATGTGGGAATGGATAGGAGTCCGGCTGCGGTGGATCTGAGGGACCGTGGAGTGTCCCCTGGTCTCCCAGCTGTGTGCGTCACTCTTTAGTGTCCCCTGGTCTCCCAGCTGTGTGCGTCACTCTTTAGTGTCCCCTGGTCTCCCAGCTGTGTGCGTCACTCTTTAGTGTCCCCTGGTCTCCCAGCTGTGTGCGTCACTCTTTAGTGTCCCCTGGTCTCCCAGCTGTGTGCGTCACTCTTTAGTGTCCCCTGGTCTCCCAGCTGTGTGCGTCACTCTTTAGTGTCCCCTGGTCTCCCAGCTGTGTGCGTCACTCTTAGTGTCCCCTGGTCTCCCAGCTGTGTGCGTCACTCTTTAGTGTCCCCTGGTCTCCCAGCTGTGTGCGTCACTCTTAGTGTCCCCTGGTCTCCGTCGTGTTTTGAGCTTCCTGCAGCGTCTCCTTTATGCTGTAACGCGTGTGCACAGGTTGGAATTGTTTGTAGGGATGCAATCATTAATCATATTAGCATTAGATGTGTCTTTATTCCATAATCAAATTGTTTGTCTTGAATTTTGAAAATGTGTCTGTGATCGTAATTTTTTTTTGACGTGTAAGTGTATTTTTTGACTTTTAATTGTTTATCTGCATCACTTTTAATCGTTTTTTTTTTTTAAATGTAGCTATACTGTATAGAAGGTATTACAAAAACTGTTGAATCACGTTAAGCATTTTTTCAAATAAGTACTCAATGAATCACTAGAAATACTGAATATTGTTTAAAAAATCAGTTAAGGTTTGAGAATTTCAGATGTATATAATCTGAAGTATTCATACACAAAATGCAGATTTAATATCCCATGTTACATGTGAAGAGCTAATGTGCAAAAACGGATAAAGGCCATTCATTGTTAAAACCACCCAAACCCGTTGAATTAATATTCCCTAAATTGGACAATAAAAACAACGTGATTTAGATTAATTAATAACCATGGCAACCTATGTTTTCGCTCATTCACTCTTCATGTATTTTACCTTCATGTTGGTTTGGCTTCATTCAGTAAATGTTGGATGTTTTCATGTTACCGTCATCTATATCAATAAAACATCAATAAAGAAAGATCTGTTTCTGGATGTTGCATTTAAAGACGTCACGATAATCGATAAACAGGTTGTGAACTCTTTAAGCTCACCGTGGGAATTTTTTTTATGAAATCACATTTTTTTAAATTATATTTGGTGTAAAAGATGTTCAAGAATGATCTTTTCTAAAGCACCATGTGGGTGATGATACGAAACATTACTGCTGCTACCAGTTGAGTATAATACATGGAAAATAAAATACGTTAAAAAATATATTAATTATTCAACACTTAATAAAATAAGCTGCTGTTTTTGAACCAATTTGTAACACTGGTGGACACTTCCTATACCTTTAATTAATCTGCTTATATTCATGAACAGTTTGTGATTATCTTTTAATTGAAACACACAGAAATTACATGGTGCCATTTTCTTACAATTTATTTTTAAGAATCTTTTTTTAAATACAAGATAAAAACTGAATTGTACTCACCAGTCCTTTGGGTCTGGATGTGCCACAGGAAGCTGTGTTTAGAAAACAAAACACAAAGAAATGTAATACACCTTGTAGGACCATCCATTTTGTTATGCATGCAGTTCAGTTATGTACCCAATTAGATTGCATGTGAAGGAGTCAAAGCCCAAAGCATTTAACCCTCAACTTTATTCTAACCTTGAGGGCCCTTGTTGTGCTGCATCCAGGGGATTGTCTCGACTTCGAGGTGGAGTGGTCATTACGCTGCATCTTGCTTTATCCCTAAGCTTTTTCTTCCTTCTTGCCACTTCTTTCTCTGTACTCTCCTTCCTCTTTCACTGAGGTCTGACACTTTCTTTTGTTCCCTTCTTCCACTTGTCCTTCTTTCATTGTCTGAATCCCTTCGTGACCTGTAGCGTCGCTGCTTTTCTGCATTAGACAACGGTGCCATTTCCTGATAAATACATTCATACCATTATATCATATCATTTAAGACTATATATAACATATATGCATATTAAACAAACAATACATAACACATGCTGGAAATAGTTAATCATCCCAGGGGGGTCAAACTAAATTTCATCGTGGGCCACATCAGCATTATGGTTGCACTCAAAGGGCCGGTTGTAACTTTCAATCTCAATCTTTATTTATAGCACAATTAAAACCACCTCCGTTGATCAAAGCGCTGCACAGGGAACAAACATAAAATAACATAATAATTTAAAACAAGATAAAAAGCACAATAACTAGAAACATGTAAAACACATACAAATATCAAAATGTTATGTTCAACTAGTATTAAAAGCCACTGCAAAACTTTAAGACTATATATAAATATATCACATATATAAAATAATGTATTATATTACATTATTGCCTCTGCATTGGATTATTATCTGATAGGGTAATAACTTCATAATTAAATACGTCTGAAAAGCAGAAGTTTAGAGCAAATAATTGCAAGTCTCTTCAGTGCGCACGTCACAAAATGAGATGCATTGTGGGACATGTAGTTTATGGGCAACGTGCTTATAACCGTATATTAAATATTATATTCTTTCAGAGCTCTTGCAGGGCCACATAAAATGAAGTCGAGGGCTCGAGTTTGACACCCCTGATCTAGCCATTTAACATCCCCCGTTACTGTGTGTCCTGTTACTGTGAACAATATTAACAGGGTGGACGGTAACGCAGCGTCCACACGGCGGCGTGCGTTGAAGCTTGCCGGTGGGCGTGTCTGAAACTCGACCAACAACCAATCACATGGATCTGCCGCCCCGGACACACAAGCACGCGGTTCGATTGGCTAGAGCTTGTACTGGCATATGATTTGATTGGCTGACACTTCCGTCGAAGCTTCAAAAGTTGAACATTGCTCTACTTTTGAAGCGAGCAAAGCGAAGCGACGGAACCACAATGCAGTTTGGCAAAGCGTGACGTCACCCCATTCAAAGTGAATGGGCAGAAGCGTTAAAGCTTCAACGCACGCCGTCGTGTGGACAGGCCGTAACGGGGTGGAAATGTTATGCTAAACTTGGCTATTGCTACATGTGTGATGATAATCAAGCTAGCTCTTGGTGACAACAGAAACATATATTTTATAGATATATTCACCATATTTTCTAAATGTAAGCATTTTTATCAGTTTCCACTCAAAATGAACATAACAGGGTGGCCATGTTATGCTTTACTACAACAGTTAACTTCTTTAAAAACATTTAAAAAACCTTGAAGGAAGAGTGCATACCTACTCTGCTTCTTGAAGATGATTTTCCCGCTCAAAATGTATCCTTCTTCTTGAGTCATACAAATAGTAGAATAGTAAAGGGGCGTGTCCAGAGGGATTCAAATCAAGAGTAACAGGGGGGACATTCAAACAGGGGACACACACTTTTTATAAAACTTTAAACAATAAAAATGAATTAACAACAAAAAAATGTAGAATTTGTTTGATTTATTTTGTATAGAAGTTGAGCAAACATGATTTGGGACGCAGCAATTTGGCCTACTTGTGCTAAGATCAGAGTAATTATTTAGAATTTAGAATATCCTGGGTAAATAACATTGTTGTTTTATGGTAGAGGGGAATACACATGTAAACCCAAGCTTTTAAAAATAAGCATTAGAACTTTTAAAGGCAACATATATGATATAATGTGTTGGGGACCTAAATGGCACCGAATGCTGGAATGACTCATATGTGTTTTTCTCCACTAGACATCTTCAATTGCATTTTTTCTGCAAACAAGGAAGCACTACAGACTCACTGACTGAATAATCTAGATTCTCACATCAATAGTGATATTAGTTTGGCAGATAATATCCTCATTTAGAGATCATTATGGGGGGAAAAGGCAAGAACAATCAGTGTTTGGGAAGTCATCATTGACTTCACTCTGTGAGACGTTGAACTGCACCAAAGCTACCATAGGGAAACATCTAACTGGGTTAACTATAGCTCAGAAAGCAAATAAGGAAATTACCTTTTTTACAAGTCGTTGAGAAGAATCAATCATTTTTGGTGTTAGGTTTGGATAATGCACTGGCCATGTTTCAATAAGACTTTAAAAAAATGCAGTAATTTATTTATTTACAAACATTAAGACACAAATAACCCATCCAAACCTTTTAAACCAACTGAGAACTTAAAAACACCTTATGAGTAACAGGAATGTCTGAATTAATGCTTATATATTTTTTCCCCCATATGCTATGACGGTTCGTGTGTACATAACATCATGGATCGTGCACCTTGTCATGTTGGGATGAATGGTTGACTGGTTTGACAGCAGAGGGTGGGGCTGTTTGGCAGCTTTGTGTCCCAGCTGTCGCCCCCACCCACCCTGGATACACTGAGGGAGGGTGGGGTCTCTTCTTCCATGTGTCTCAACAACGTATATAAAAGAAAGAAGAAAGAGAAAAGGATGCAGGTGAAACGTCGAGTAAAAACTGGATTGTATACATGATTTATGGTCAAAATAAACTGTGTTCACATACATAACGCAAACAATTGTGTTAAGATGACTGTCAAAAATGTTAACTATAATAAACATAATATCTATATATCTTGTTAAATAAAAGAGTAAAAATGACAAATTGTGTTTTTTCGATTCTGCGCCAGACTATTTCTTGTCATATTTAAAAAGTCCCTTGAAACGGAATCCTTTCACAACCAAATTTGACATTACGTCAACGTAAATATTTACTAATACTGCCATATACATATCTGCAATGATCTAATATAGCCAATATTTAACTAACATTTAAAAACCGTAACCTGAGCGGTGTCATCAAAAAACATTGAATTACGCCCACCACAACTTCATAAAAAATGTAGTCCACTAACGGGGGAGAATTATTTATTACTTCAACCATTATAGTAATTTGTCATTATTTATTTATTAGGTTTTCCCCCAATCGTTTCTAAAATCTTTTGTTAACATAATACATATTTTCAAATCATTAATAATGATGTTGTTACTGTTACAAATGAATAAAGCCATGGTAAAGCAGCACAGTAGTAGTGGTATTAACATAATGAAGTACTGTGCTCACAGTTGGAGTAAGTATGGATAATTGCAGTAATATAAGTAATGGTGGCAATAGGACTAGATTTAGAGTTGAATTCACAAGGCTATGGCTATCGTGTGAAGAAAATCAAGATTCGTTTTAAACTAAAGTAAAAGCTTTGGCCCATATCTGATTTCCTGGCCAACGTCTACTGTTTCCTCTTGGTTTCAGTCTTAATGCTGTGTTAAGCTAACTGTCTCCTAGCCGGGTGCTAAGTAGCGTTAGCTGTTACCTCCTGGAAAGTATCAATTCATGGATTTCAATAAAATACTTATTTCACTTCCTTCTGTTTTTGTACAAGAATAAATAAAAAACTGTCAAATTATCAAAGACTTATTTCACTTCAGGGTGATAGCAGGACACCCCATCTAGTCACTCAGAGAGAATCAGGACAATCTGATGTAGAGTTTCAAAATAAAATACCTTTGAAGTCTCATATATGAGCTATCGTCCTTCTGTTTGTATCCCACAGTTCAAATGTTCGAATTACATTAAACCAGAATTGTCCCCCTTTTTTATTTAACAGTGAAGAAAATTGGATATGTTAATGGTATATTGACCGCAAAACTCAAAATGTCCCCGGTTTTAATTTAGAAAATCTGGTCACCTTAAGCTCAATGACCACATTTTATTTTGTAATGGTACGTAAAGAGTTTCGGTTACTACTAGCTTCAGAGGGAGAGCAAGGCTAAGCTAACTATCTCCTGGATAAAGCTTCATCTATTCTACAATGAAGTCAGTGGTGGAAAAAGTATTTAGAGTCTTAACTTGAGTAAAATGTGTAATACCACAGTGTAAAAATACTCAATTTCAAGTACTGCATCGAGAATGGTACTTCAGTAAAAGTATTTAAGTACAATTATGAAAATGACCGTAAAGGATAAGGACTAAAATGACTAGGAGGGACTCCTTGCTGGAAAAAAAGTATTTTTAAGCAAAAGCAGCAAATCTTCACATTTAATTAATTATCTATTAACGCACTCATGGATTTAGTTATTTATGTATAATGTTGGATGGTTTAATCTATATTAAATAATCATATTGTAATAGTTTTTCTTCACCACATGCATTTATAAAGTAACTTATAAATGCAGTGAAGTAAAAAAGTAGTATTAAATGAAAGTAATTCCAAATACTGTACTTTCCATCACTGATTACATTTAAAAATTAAAACAAATAACTTTAAGATATAGTTGTTTTTATTTAATTTAATGTAGTCCAACACTGTATTATTGTATGTTTATAGGGTTAAGATATTTGATTATCTGCATTATGACGATATAACTTAAATGAATTTGAATTTGAGGGAGAGACAAAAGACAGCGAGAGGAAGAGAGAGCTAGACAAAGACCTGGAGAGAGAGATGGAGGAAGGGGGGGGGGGGGGGGGGGGGGGGGGGGGGAGTCTATCATCACGTATGCCGGGGAGGAGAGGGGAGGGCCGGGAAAGGGGGGGGGTTTACCCGGTCTGTCGGTCTCTCCTCCCTCTGCTGCAGCCGCCATGCTGCTGTCGGTCTCCGTGCATCCCGGTCCGGTGTCTCTCTCCTCCCCGCCACATCATCCCTGAATCCCGGGTTAGCAGGCTCGGTTGTAGCTGTCTGGATCCACCGGAACCTAAACGCAACACCGGGTAAGAGAGGAGAAAGCCTCCATAGCAACAAACCGGTTTAACGGCATTATTGCTAGGTAGGTGCCTCCCTGTCCGTGTGTCAGCACAGCTTAGCGTTATAAGGGCGGATAGATGGATAAAGTAAAAACGTGTATCATATAAATATCGACTTATTTATGTATTTGAATGAACAAGATCCTGTTCTGCTTGTGGCTGCAGGTGCATTTTATGTGCCCGCAGAAAATCAATGGACAATTCTTCTCACTTTGGCCTTGCAGGACATTTCATTTCACTAAAGCAAGACGGTTGTATTTCACTTGAAACACGTTTTGCATGATGCTTTGAATGCATAACATTAATAATGTACATGCAAAAGCTTAAGGAAGCAAATGTATTGATGGTAAACCTGAATGCAAGCTTGTGTTCAGTGTTCTTAAATACTGAATTCAATATATTTAGAGATATTTGAAGGTCTATCATGTCAAATATATGTAATATATCATATATAGATGGACACAAAAAGCACATAGGTGATATATAATGTGATGCATAAACTCCTATTTGGTCTCTTGCTGCAGATACATTTAATTGACTGCAGAAAATCAATGGACAATTCTCATGCTGGCCCTGCAGGAAATTGATGGTACACTAAATGCAAGCATGTGTTCAGTACTCCTAAATACTGAATTCAATATATTTAGAGATATACATGTGTATGTTGTTGCAGGGAAATCATGTCCAATAGCCATTTGATTGTAATCTCTTTTGTTGGCAGTGATGGAGGGATGAGAGGACGCTGAGGGACAAAGTGTGACACCAACAACCAGCCGGAGAACCAGGACTATAAACCCTTGGTGTAAAGAAAGCAGTTCCAGAAGACAGGAGTCATTGTTTACCGCTGTTGGACGATGCATCCTGTGTAGCCGAGACTCTTTTTGAACGTTTCTGGTCAGTTTTGTCACCACCATGTCTTTGAGCAAGACCCTCGAGTTGGAGCACTTTGACGAACGCGACAAAGTTCGCCGAGGACGATCCACCCGAACCAAAAGAGATGATACAACATCTGGAAGAGGAGGAGGGTCCGGTCCAAATTCCCGGGCCAGCAGTTTGGTCCCGAGTCCGGCCCACAGCGCTAATTGTAGCTACTACAGAACCAGGACCCTGCAGACGCTAACCTCGGAGAAACGAGCCAAAAAAGTCAGGTTTTATCGCAACGGAGATCGGTACTTCAAGGGTTTGGTGTACGCGGTGTCCAGTGATCGGTTCAGGTCCTTCGATGCGCTGCTGATGGAGCTAACGCGCTCTTTGGCGGATAATTTGCATCTTCCACAAGGGGTTCGTTCGATCTACACGATAGATGGCGGGAAGAAGATCACCAGCATGGACGAACTGATGGAAGGTAGGACTCAGAAACTCTCAGAAAGTACAGGTATTAGTGTTCAACATGTAAGAAGTAGAAAGTACAGGTATTTGAGTTCAACATGTAAGAAGTAGAAAGTACAGGTATTAGTGTTCAACATGTAAGAAGTAGAAAGTACAGGTATTTGGGTTCAACATGTAAGAAGTAGAAAGCACAGGTATTTGAGTTCAACATGTAAGAAGTAGAAAGTACAGGTATTTGTGTTCAACATGTAAGAAGTAGAAAGTACAGGTATTTGTGTTCAACATGTAAGAAGTAGAAAGTACAGGTATTTGAGTTCAACATGTAAGAAGTAGAAAGTACAGGTATTAGTGTTCAACATGTAAGAAGTAGAAAGTACAGGTATTAGTGTTCAACATGTAAGAAGTAGAAAGTACAGGTATTTGTGTTCAACATGTAAGAAGTAGAAAGTACAGGTATTTGAGTTCAACATGTAAGAAATAGAAAGTACAGGTATTTGTGTTCAACATGTAAGAAGTAGAAAGTACAGGTATTTGAGTTCAACATGTAAGAAGTAGAAAGTACAGGTATTTGAGTTCAACATGTAAGAAGTAGAAAGTACAGGTATTTGAGTTCAACATGTAAGAAGTAGAAAGTACAGGTATTTGTGTTCAACATGTAAGAAGTAGAAAGTACAGGTATTAGTGTTCAACATGTAAGAAGTAGAAAGTACAGGTATTTGTGTTCAACATGTAAGAAGTAGAAAGTACAGGTATTTGAGTTCAACATGTAAGAAGTAGAAAGTACAGGTATTTGTGTTCAACATGTAAGAAGTAGAAAGTACAGGTATTTGAGTTCAACATGAAAGAAGTAGAAAGTACAGGTATTTGTGTTCAACATGTAAGAAGTAGAAAGTACAGGTATTTGAGTTCAACATGTAAGAAGTAGAAAGTACAGGTATTTGTGTTCAACATGTAAGAAGTAGAAAGTACAGGTATTTGTGTTCAACTTGTAAGAAGTAGAAAGTACAGGTATTTGTGTTCAACATGTAAGAAGTAGAAAGTACAGGTATTTGTGTTCAACATGTAAGAAGTAGAAAGTACAGGTATTTGTGTTCAACATGTAAGAAGTAGAAAGTACAGGTATTTGAGTTCAACATGTAAGAAGTAGAAAGTACAGGTATTTGGGTTCAACATGTAAGAAGTAGAAAGTACAGGTATTTGGGTTCAACATGTAAGAAGTAGAAAGTACAGGTATTTGAGTTCAACATGTAAGAAGTAGAAAGTACAGGTATTTGGGTTCAACATGTGAGAAGTAGAAAGTACAGGTATTTGGGTTCAACATGTAAGAAGTAGAAAGTAAAAAGTCGTCAAAATAAATAGTGGAGTAAAGTACTGATACCAGAAACATGTACTTGAGTACAGTAACAAAGTATTTGTACAGTATTTGTACTCCTGCTCTTACTTACATGTAGAAGATCAAAACCACTATTTAAACTCGGATGGACAGATATATTATTAGTATTAGTATTATCGTTAATCTAGGAAGTAATTGGCACAATGAAACAAAGATTGAGTTGCAGCCCTTTTGAGTAACCGGTGACTCAGAAACAATTTGTTGGAAACATGTTTATTTTTGTTCATGTTGAGATTAAAACCACTATCTGTATGCTAACTATGAAGCTACATCAAGGGGTAGGGTTGCAACTAATTGGTTATTACTTAGTTTTCTAGACTAATTGCTTCATTTGGTCCAATGTTGGGAAATTGTTAACAATTCCAAGATAATGTCTTTAAATCTCTGTTTTTTTCCAAGTCAAACCAAAGAAATTCACTAAATCCAGAAATTATCCATATGGCTAAGTATCAGCTTTCTTGCTTAAAGATGAATCGATTAATCATTGCCGCTCTTATAAGGGTCACGTTATTTCCAAAAAAGCCAGTTTGTTGCTTAAAATATTGGATTTTTTAAGATACACTTGCCTAAATGTGTTAATATCTTCGGAGTCTTGCTATCTGTCTCCAGTCTTTATGCTTCAGGAGTGGGAGTTATATATTCACAAAAGAAGCTTTTTTTAATATATAAAGATGCAGTTCTAGAAACAGGAAGGGGATCTTCTTTGTGGGGTAATGAGATAAAAAGGAATCCTTGAATTATTGAAGGCCTTCCTGCCGCTTTCTCCATCGATCTATCTATCGATTGATCCGTCCTCCTTAAACTTCCTCTCTTCCGTCTCTGTTGGGCAAACACTCTTAAATGACTTATTGATGTGGACAGTCAGGGACTCACGAGCAGAGTTTACATTGTATCAAATATTCTATCTCCCCTGCCGTCTTTCCCTTCCTTCACTGGTATCCCGCTGTCCGACCAGTCTGAGTAACTGCACTTACTCTCAGTGTTGATGTGAGACTGCTTCCTCTAATGATCATCAGCGCCAGGAAGCTGCACGACGTAATAAAGACGGATGCGTCGCTCTGAAAGGAATTAATAAACTCAGAGTGGACCGTGAAGTGGAAACTGGTCATTTACAACTTCCCCCTGCAGGGGTTTAGACAGGTTTAACCGACAGATTGGGGGTTTCTTGCTGAATATTTCATGTTTTAAGCGATTTAAACAAACTCCTGCAGACGTTTGTTCAATTAGCCGTTGTGTGGATTGTCAGAATAATAATCTGTAACTCATTTAATACTAACTTCCATGCAAATATGTCAGAAAAAGCAGTTTTGAGGCTTTAAAATATAGATATTTAGTACTTTTTTATATCACATTAAACTAAAGATCTTTGGGATTTTGACTGAAAAACACGTCATTTAAAGACATCTATTTAGACTTTTAGAAGATGGCATGGACAAATATATTATTATTATTATCGTTAGTCTAGAACAGTGTTTCTCAAAGGGTGGTCCGTGAGCGCCCCCTAGTGGTCCGTGAGTATATTGGTAATATTTCACATTTTTAAACAAGTAATTAAAGTTTTCCGCACTCTCGCGGGAATATCTCCGCAAACGAGCGAGCTTAAGTTTCACGTTCGATTGCATGATAAAGCCCAGCGCAACACCTTCGTCACACATGTTGCCACTTGTTTGTACCATTTTCAGGCGATTTGTAATCTGTTCTAGAAAAACAATGTTTTTTTTTTTAGATATCAAGAAGCGTATAAAACAAACAATGGATGTATATTATGAACATTTATCCGTGCTGGAAGTAGATCTAGATGTTTTAGGAGTGAGATAGAGATTATTATGTAATATATGCATCAGATGAAGCATTGCATGAAGTCTGTTGATGATCAGAGGCTGTTGTTGGGGCAGACCATGCAGGCAGCCCGATGGTCACCAAGGTTCATGTTTTAATAGCATTTACAACAAAAAAGCCCAGGCGAGCCTAACACGTGAAAAAAGGGCTTAGACCTCAGAGAGTTCGAGTTGGGCCTGCGACCAACGTTTCACTGTATTTTGTTTTGAAAATCCACAGTGGAGGTTTGTGTCGTACTACATGCGGTGTATTTTGCATTTCTCTATAGCCAACGATCTGTGAGTCTGTTGGCTCGGACATAAACTCCGTAATAAGAGGTGTAAAACCTGAGAGCATTTTAAATCGCATTTGAACTAAATGCTTATATAACCTGTAGTTGTGTTTGTATTGTTTTATTGTGTGAACATTAAACTAAACTAAACTTGATGTAGAGAAGGTTAAGCTGTCATTAGTAGGCTGTTATGTACTGTTGGAGTGGAGAGCAGGCCTATTGTTTCTGGATATCTGGGGAGTCAGGTGAGTGTTTTTGTATAGGTTAAGTGTCCTTGGTATGAAACAGTTTGAGAAACACTGCGCTAGGAAGTAATTGGCACAATGAAACTAAGATTGAGTTGCAGTCCTATTGAGTAAATGGGGAAGTGAGATTTTCCAGCCTCTAAAATCTAGGTATTTCCTGTTTTTATATCACTTTACACTAAAGATCATTGAGTTTTGAGTGACGAAATGGCATTTAAAGACATCGCTTTGGACTTTTAGAAGATGGGATGGACACATATATTATTATAATTAGTATTATAGTTAATCTAGGAAGTAATTGGCACAATGAAACTAAGATTGAGTTGCAGCCCTTTTGAATACCTGGTGTTATTGTTGGGGACATTTTGTAATGCAATCTTTGTCTTTGAACCTGTATCCACGTTGCTTGTCGACACAGAACGTGTTTTATCTAGTCGGTCAGGTATTTGAATGAAAACCCAGAGCAGTGCCGTCCTGCTGTTTTGAATAGCAAAGTGAAAGTCAGCTCATGGAGAGACAAGGTCACACACACATTACCTGCAGAGTGTGTGTGAGGGATAAAGAGTGTGTGTGTGTGTGTGTGTTTTTGAGGTTTACACAGGCTGACAGGTTAGTGTGAGGTGAAAAGAGGAACGACTGAAGGTGAGCCGTTGTAACCATATAAGGTAAAACAGGAAATGACTGAGTTACTGTGCGCGTGATCGGCTGCAGGGAAATCTCATGATTTATAGTTTTAATAATATACATCATTTATTATATATTAAAGAGGCACCACTGCTATCGTTCAAAGGAGATTAAAAGCAAATGTTTTGGTAATACATTTACAAGAGGTAATTAAAAGACATCTTTGGGGCTATGAAACTCAAGATTTTGGTCCATTTTATTTCCATATTTCGCGGATTTTTAGTTAATTTACCGGTTTACAATATTCAGCTTTCAATGTATTAATATGTATAATTTCTAACCTATTTTTGTTAACTTCATTTATACAGTTTGTGTTTTATTTGTAATAAAAGAAAATGAACTTATTTTTACCATATTTCTTTATATGTTATGCTATTTATAACATATGTTCTTTTTTTAAATATGTATTAAAGTTTTACCTCTTTGGTTTACAGTATCATTTGAATATTATTTGTTATTTTTTGTATTACATTTTTACAATATTTATTGCAAATTGTACCCTTTTTTGTTTATTTTACAATTCTTTTGCCATTTGATACATTTATCACCTTTTTGTTTAGTCTATGTCTTTCTACTTTTTTCAAATCTCCACTAATACAACGTCTTCCCCCTTCCCTCAGGCGAGTGCTACGTGTGCGCCTCCAACGAGCCGTACCGCAAAGTGGACTACACCAAGATCTCCGTCCAGAGCTGGAAACCGGGCGTGGCCACCGGCCCCTCCTCCTCTTCCTCTCGACCCTCCACTGTGTCCGCGGGGGTCTCAGCGGGCGGCGCCGGCCCCTCCAGGGACCGTCCGGATGTCCGTGAGGGCAGAGAGAGCCGAGAGAGCAGAGAGAGCAAAGACTTCATCAAACCCAAGCTGGTGACGGTGATCCGGAGCGGAGTGAAGCCTCGTAAGGCCGTGAGGATCCTCCTGAACAAGAAGACGGCGCACAGCTTCAATCAGGTCCTCGCCGACATCACAGAGGCCATCAAACTGGACTCTGGCACCGTGAAGAGGCTCTACACGCTGGACGGGAAGCAGGCAATACGACTAATAACCTTCATTGATCTCAATTTGGGAAATGTTTGCGCTGCAGCAGCAAAAAAAACAACAAAACAAAACCAGGCATTGCACATACGTAGACATTAAAGAGTAGAAATAAACAATACTAGAATTTAAACATCACAAAATAGAATTAAAAGTAGAAAATACACAGTAGACCGTGAAGTAGAATCAGACAACACACAATAGGTATGCAAATCAATTACATATAAATTCACTTTTTGAAAAGTTCCTACTGGATTATTTGTAAATATCAGGCTGATTTCCTTAAAAGAGTTTAAGATGTAATTTTCATCTTGAAGTGTTCGGACACTGAGTTCAGTCTCTTTTGAAGATTAATCTTTGGTACTTTTAGTGAAACGTGTCTTTAAAGCTGTAAAAAGGACTGTGGATTTAAACGTCACACACACACACACACACACACACACACACACACACACACACACACACACACACACACACACACACACACACACACACACACACACACACACACACACACACACACACACACACACACACACACACACACACACACACACACACACACACACACACACACACACACACACACACACACACACACACACACACACACACACACACACACACACACACACACACACACAAACTCTTTGAAGTTACAGATAAGGCTGTCGGCTGTGACACAATGACGGTGTTGAGCTGAAGAAGAGACAGCAGAGCGCTTGTTCGGGCATCGGTGTGACTGATTTTTGGCTGTTGCAGTGAATGCATCGCAGATTAAAACACACACACACACACACACACACACACACACACACACACACACACACACACACACACACACACACACACAGAGAGACACACACAAATACACAATAATCCTGTTTGCATATGTCGGATGTTGCCGTGTAATCGGCCTTGAAAAAGTGAAAGACATTTTTAGCATAGACTGCCTTCAAAATAAAAGCATTCATTACATTATAACATTAATTTGAGTGTATTACAATCTTTTTATCTTCAACACATGCATGAAAATGTTATCTTTCCACCCTTTTAATATTTAATTAAGAACAACATTAATTATTAGAACAGACCGTGTAAAAAAAAGGGTGTACTCTAAATAAAGGCTCTTATTTTGAAGGCAGTGCATCAGAACGAGGGCTTTTATTCTGTCTGTCTTCCTCTGACGGCTTTCAGACTCAATGAATGAAACAATGTGTGTGTGTGTGTGTGTGATGGGGTTTCTGTCCCGCTGCTTGAAGTGGCTGCACAAACTGAAAGGACGAAGGGAGGACACACACTTACACATTGACATTGCATTCAGTGTAATTACCATGGTAACAAGCCATCTAGTAACAAGATCTTTCGTCACACACACACACACACACACACACACACACACACACACACACACACACACACACACACACACACACACACACACACACACACACACACACACACACACACACACACACACACACACACACCACACACACACACACACACACACACACACACACACACACACACACACACACACACACACACACACACACACACACACACACACACACACACACACACACACACACACACACACACACACACACACACACACACACACACACACACACACACACACACACACACACGTTCTGGAAGCGCTGAGTAAATATGTGAGGAGTGAGAGGTGAAGACAAGGACAAACTAAAGTGCGAGATGAAGGAGAAAATAGTAAATGTCACATGTACTCAAATATGTGTGTGTGTGTGTGTGTGTAGCTGACCTGTCTGCAGGATTTCTTCGGGGACGACGATGTGTTCATGGCCTGCGGGCCGGAGAAGTTTCGTTACGCTCAGGACGACTTTGTGCTCACACACTGCATCAAAACACCAGCGTTTGTAAACGGTGAGACACACACGTACACACACACGCACACACACACACTTTACTTTATACTTTTAATAACAGAAACTAACCACCATTCAATATGATAACTCTCTTTCTCCCCAGAGTGCAAAACAAAGGTGTCACGTCCCCCTGTCCCTCCAAAAACTACAACTCCCAAGACCCCTAGCAGTTCGGGCTTCTCCCCTAAGACCCCCCCCAGAGGAGGCCTCCCCAGGGCTACGTCTCCAGGTACCAAACACTTCTCTTATAAACTCCTAAAATGCTCCGTTTGTTTATATATTAAAGATTATGTTAACCAATCAGATGCTTCCTCTTCTCGTGTGTAGCCAATGAGGCGCCAAGTGGGCGGTCCTCCAGAACAAGCCCCTCCCCCACGAGCCCCGGGGCCCGACGCAGCCTCAAGGTCATTTACTTATTATTAATTGGTGTAAAATCATACATTTTTAGACGTCTAAGCTATAAAAATACACTATTTTCTATCATCAAAATTCACTCAAAAAAAAATCTTCTTGATGTTCCTCTCCAGGTCTCGCCTCGTCGTTCTTCCTCCACAGACGTTAACGGAGAATCTGAGCAGCCTGAAGACAACACTTTGGAAGGTGTGTGTGCGAGTGTGTGTGTGTTCATCTGAGTGTGTGTGTTTGGTGATTTCTTACAATCAGTAACGGCCCGTCCACACAGCGGCGTGCGTTGAAGCTTCCAACGCTTCTGCCCATTCACTTTGAATGGGGTGACGTCACTTTTAGCCGAAATTCATTTTGGGAAGCGACGTGGAGCGTAGCTGGCGTCAAAAGTTGAGCAATGTTCAACTTTTGACGCCTCGACGGAGGCGTCAGCCAATGAAATCCCGTTTATTCAAATCTGACAGTACAAGCGCTAGCCAATCAAACCGCGTGTATGCTGGGAGAGACTACGCAGGTCATTTCCTCATATTCAAAAAAATTGAGGGAAAATTCATTATAGCGGTAGAGAATCACCCGGTGCTGTATGATCAGTCTCTGTTCATCTACCGGGATACAAACCGGAGGAGCGAGGCATGGAGGGAGGTGGCAGAGACAGTGGGTGAATCTGGTAGGTTTTCGCCTGTTTGGGGATTTTATATCCAGTTTACTTCGTTTTAACATTGCTATTGCTTTGTATGTCGGGGGCGGGAGATTCATGTGATTGGTTGTTGGTCGTGTTGCTCGCAAAAAATCCCCAAGCTTCAGATACGCCCACCTCCAAGCGTCAACGCACGCTGCTGTGTGGACGCTCCGTAAGTGTAGATGGGGGCCTTGAAAATCTGTATTCAATGACCTTGAATGATCCTGAATCTGAAGTGTGTTGGAAGCCAGTGTTCAATATTAGTGTGTTTTTTAAAATCTGGAATATAAAAGTAGATATTAAAGACTGAAAATGTCGCCGTCTCTTCCTCACAGTGAACGGTAATCGCTCCGTTTCCTCGTCCGTCATCAACGACAAGTACAAAGTGGGGAAAGTGATCGGAGACGGAAACTTCGCCGTGGTGAAGGAGTGTGTCGAGAGGTGAGAGCAACAAGAGGGGCGTTTAAAAATAAATAAACATCCAACTTACTGTATTCATTTATGGCTTTTCAATTTGTTATTAAAAACACGTGAAATCAGAGGTGTTTTACCAGGAAGTCGTTGTTTATCTGTAAAAAAAGGTTACACTGACTCGCCTAACATATGGTAGGTGATAAAAGCAAAAACACATTTCGAAATCAGATGCAGAGGATTAACGTAACTTGTGTTATAGTCAATGTTTTAACACTTAAATTCACATTTTTCATTCAAACACAAAATGAAAGTAGACGGTAATAATCGCATCGTTCCATTTCTGTACAAATTATTATTAAAAATTCAACAGATATGTGATAAATGAGTTGATATCACCCTAGTGACTTTAATGTAAATTGAATTTTTGTAAAGATTGATGTACATTTGTTTGATTTTCAGGGCGACGGGACAGGAGTACGCCCTGAAGATTATTGATAAAGCTCGCTGCTGCGGGAAGGTAACACTCATTTATATTAATATGTTTATATATTTGATTGTATTTCAAAATAAGACAGAGTAAATGTCACTATAACTGTGTGTGTGTGTGTGTGTGTTCAGGAGCACCTGATAGAAAACGAGGTGTCGGTGTTGCGGCGAGTTCGCCACCCGAGCATCATCGAGTTAATCGAGGTGGACGAAACGCCGAGTCAGCTGTTCCTCGTCATGGAGCTCGTTAAGGTGCGTCCTCTTCTACTTCCTGTTTACCTTTAGGGAATAGAGTGGTGCAGGAATGAGTCCTAAAACCAGGGAATGACTCCCTAAACGTCATCACGCCCAACATTAGCCACCTTTAGCTTAGCGGTGGTGACGTGAAGTCATGTGACCGTGCTGTAGTTCCTTTATAGCCCAACATTAGCCACCTTTAGCTTAGCGGTGGTGACGTGAAGTCATGTGACCGTGCTGTAGTTCCTTTATAGCCCAACATTAGCCACCTTTAGCTTAGCGGTGGTGACGTGAAGTCATGTGACTGTGCTGTAGTTCCTTTATAGCCCAACATTAGCCACCTTTAGCTTAGCGGTGGTGACGTGAAGTAATGTGACCTTGCTGTAGTTCCTTTATAGCCCAACATTAGCCACCTTTAGCTTAGCGGTGGTGACGTGCAGTCATGTGACCATGCTGTAGTTCCTTTATAGCCCAACATTAGCCGCCTTTAGCTTAGCGGTGGTGACGTGAAGTCATGTGACCGTACTGTAGTTCCTTTATAGCACAACATTAGCCACCTTTAGCTTAGCGGTGGTGACGTGAAGTCATGTGACCGTGCTGTAGTTCCTTTATAGCCCAACATTAGCCACCTTTAGCTTAGCGGTGGTGACGTGAAGTCATGTGACCGTGCTGTAGTTCCTTTATAGCCCAACATTAGCCACCTTTAGCTTAGCGGTGGTGACGTGAAGTCATGTGACTGTGCTGTAGTTCCTTTATAGCCCAACATTAGCCACCTTTAGCTTAGCGGTGGTGACGTGAAGTAATGTGACCTTGCTGTAGTTCCTTTATAGCCCAACATTAGCCACCTTTAGCTTAGCGGTGGTGACGTGCAGTCATGTGACCGTGCTGTAGTTCCTTTATAGCCCAACATTAGCCGCCTTTAGCTTAGCGGTGGTGACGTGAAGTCATGTGACCGTACTGTAGTTCCTTTATAGCCCAACATTAAAATTACATTATTTAAACTCCTCCTCTCTCTCAGGGCGGGGATCTGTTCGACGCCATCACTTCCTCCACTAAGTACAGCGAGAGGGATTCCAGTGCGATGGTGTTTAATCTCTCAGGAGCCGTGAAGTACCTGCACCGCATGAACATCGTGCACCGAGACATCAAGCCAGAGAACCTGCTGGTACACACACACTCTTTGAGCATTAGCATAGTAAATCCTGTTCAGCTGTTTTCTTTGAGGTTGTTTATCTGCTTCAGCGTCAGTGTGCGTGTACTGTGTGCTTACAGTGTGTGTGTGTGTGTGTGTGTGTGTGTGTGTGTGTGTGTGTGTGTGTGTGTGTGTGCCTCAGGTGTGTGAGTACCCAGACGGCACTAAGTCTCTGAAGCTCGGGGACTTCGGGTTAGCGACGGTCCTGGAGGGGCCGCTCTTCACGGTGTGCGGGACGCCAACGTACGTCGCTCCAGAGATCATCGCAGAGACCGGGTGAGACAGAGACAGATGTTAGTGTTTGTTAGTGTGTGGAAATAAAGGTTTATAAATTAAATATCACATCTTGTATGTGTGTGTGTGTAGTTATGGTCTGAAGGTGGATATATGGGCGGCGGGGATCATCACCTACATCCTGCTGTGTGGATTCCCTCCTTTCAGAAGGTCAGTTTAAATAAAGTCAGTGTCTCTACTGTGACATGTCTCCATGCTTTAATGTTCAAAAAGCTCTTGTTCTCATACTGCCTGTGCTGCAGCACCTCTTTTCACCCTCTGTCTGAAACCAGTCTGCTCTGATTGGTTAGCTGGCCGACTCTGTTGTGATTGGTTAACACCTAAGAGATGTCCCACCCCTTAGCCTATCACGTACAATGTGTTGGAGCGCTATAGCCAATAGGAGCGCAAGTGTTACATAGTGATGTCACCGTGTTCCGGGAGTAAACTACATAGGTCTTAAAACGTATGTATCATAAGTAGGGATGCACGATAATTATCGGCCAGATAATTATCGGTCCGATATTAGGAATTATGACGTCATCCCGATAAACCCGATAACAGTATTAATAGCCCCGATAATATACAATATATTTTTTGGGTAAAAAAAAGAAAAAAAATACTGCAGTGTGGGTGGATTGGGATGAGGGGCACTATCCGTGCTGAGTGTGCTGACTTCTCGTACAATGTCCCACTGTCTGGCTTCCTGCATAAAGTCAAGTGCTCGGCGCAGTTGTGGCGAAATGTCGCTCCTCCGTTTTCATTTAAACAGCTCCTTATATCCGTTAGCGCAGCTAGCTAGCACCAGATGCTAACAACAACAATGCACGTAAGGTCTCTCTCTCGCTCCCTCGGGCCACACATACACACACCCTCCCGGTCCTCCCAACAGCCAGTCGGTGCCTGCCGGTGAGCGTGGAAGTGTGGTCTGCCACAAGCGGGCGGCAGGAGCGGGGCTGTCAGCATCAGCTTGTAGATGGTATTTTAAACTCGATGCGCTCTGAAACTACGGGGCGGCCGAGGAAAAAAAATACACATGCGTTAATCGCGTTAAAATAATTAGTGGCGTAAAACATTTTTTGTTATCGGTATTGGTCTTGAGAAGCAGGAAGTTATCGGTATCGGTTTCAAAAAACCAATATCGTGCATCCCTAATCATAAGTGTTGTATTCTTCTGGTTTTTAAAGCTGAATTGCAGTAAAAGTATGTCATTTTCTTATATTTATTGTTATTTTCTCCGCGTTACTGATGACGATTGATAACAATTCTCTGGGTCTAAATATTTACAAAAGCACTTATAGTCAACCCTATAATATCTTTACAAAATCAAGTATTTGGTCAAAAATATTGTGATAATTGATAATCCATATCGTCTAGCTATAATAGACGTTGATAATTTACAGTTATTTTGTTAGAAATTGGTTCAGCTCTGGTTTGCTTTCCCCCAGAATGTAACCTTGATATATTAAAACAAATGTGATGTGTTTCTAATGCTGCTGACTAATTATTTGGTTGTTATTTTTCCACGTCCGCTCCTCAGTGAGAACAACGTGCAGGAGGAGTTGTTTGATCAGATCCTCCGAGGGAAGCTGGAGTTTCCGTCTCCGGACTGGGACGACATCAGCCTCCCAGCCAAGGTACGGATCACTCAAACAGACAGAAAGTTAAATAAAGTCAACGTTTATGTTAATAAATAATGCTGTACTGTAGGTTGGTCTGGTTGACTAAAAACCCTGAGTAATAAAGGTTGAATGGTGTTTTTCGAGTAATAAATTAGTTGCTTCAACATTTACTGCTTCCTGGTAACAGTCACATGACCTGTTCCTCAGATGCTGATTAGTCAGATGCTGCAGGTGAACGTTGACACTCGATTCACCGCAGAGGAAGTCCTCTCTCACCCCTGGGTGACGGTAAGACCCACACACACATTTTACACACACACAAACTGCAAGAGGGGAACTAACATGCTGTGAAAATCCCGTTGATTTCAGACATTAACGCGTTTATCTGTCAGAACTCAACACATCTAAAAGCTCTGAGTGATTTAAATAAAGCCAAAGTTAACTTTACCTCCTCCTGATTATAAAGAAGCTGTGAAATCATTTTAATCGCCAGTTTATTTCTTTGTATCTGATGTTAAATATCGGGATTAAAACGACTAATTTTATGAACGGACTCTGGTTTAACGGCTGTTTCTCTCAGTTAGACAGCAGAGCTTAATACTACAGGTGCAATGACTTATTAAAGAGCAGCACATGATGTTAAACACGTTCAATTCAGCCTTTAAAGGTGAGTTTAAAGGGAGTTCTTCTCAATGAATGTCAGAAAATTCTGTTCCTAAAAAAAGCTGGAGCTTATTTTGAAAGCAAGCTACATTTGTGGAAACTGTAGGAGATATCAATCCGTGCCATAATATGCAACTAAGGGCTAAAACACACAATCAGAAATACAGGATAGTAAAACAAAAACTGACATGTGGACAAAATGCTTGCTGCACTTTTGTCTACTTGCCTGTCAGTCATTCATTTCGGCAGCTTATAAAAACTTTGTTAACGACGAAAATAATGGGAAATTGTTGTCTCTAATCAAGTTACTCATTAAAAAGTAACAGTGCAAAACATTTAATGTATTTATTTGTCAATTTATTGAACATGTTCGAAACAAAACAAACAATAATAATAGTAATAATAATAATTATCTCAAACAGAAGCAAAATAAAAATAAAACTTTCAAGATATAAAAAATAATAATTCTCAAATAGTTTCTGTCATGTTCAAAAGGGGCAAGAAGAAGCTTAAAAACATTTCTGGTCCGACCCCCTCTAGCGTACATTGTTGAAATGTAAAGTCAACTGCAAAAAAGTAATCCGAGTACTCACTCTTGTTCCTTGTGATTGGTGTGTTTGTTCAGGATGACCCTCACACTGCTGAAGAACAAGCCAGTGGAGACGCTCTGGAACCACTGGAACCAGAGCAGGAATCCGCCGAACTGGAAACCAAACAGGTTCCCTCCCCTCTGGTCTGAAAACACACCACATCTCATCGACTGGAACCACACGAAACACCACTTGATGGGTCGACTGGAAACCCAAAAGATTCCCAGTTCTGGTCAAGACTCGTCCAGGAAACCAGAGGGTTTCCAACACATTTGGTCTAGAAATCGTCCCGTTTTGGAAAATAAAGGAGTTGTATGTTCTGGAAGACTCACAAGTCCATCATCGGTCTAGGATAGGACCGGTTTACCCTAACTGGAAACCCAATGATTTCTCTTCAATCTGAACAACTCCCTGTTTCTACTGGAAACCCCCAAAAAGATTCCCAGTTCTGGTCAAGACTCGTCCAGGAACCAGAGAATTTCGAACAAATCTGGTTTAGAAATTGTCCTGTTTTGGAAACTAAAAGGAGTTTTATCTTCTGGAAGACTCACAAGTCCATTATCGGTCTAGGAAAGGACCGGTTTACCCCTGATGGGAACCCAATGCGTTCTCCTTAATCTGAACTAGAACAACTCCCTGTTTCTACTGGAAACCCCCACAAAGATTCCCAGTTCTGGTCAAGACTCGTCCAGGAAACCAGAGGATTTCGAACAAATCTGGTTTAGAAATTGTCCTGTTTTGGAAACTAAAGGAGTTTTATATTCTGGAAGACTGACAAGTCCATTATCGGTCTAGGAAAGGACCAGTTTACCCCTGATGGGAACCCAATGATTGCTATTCAATCTGAACTAGAACAAGTCCCCGTTTCTTCTACTGGAAACCCTAAAAAGATTCCCAGTTCTGGTTAAGACTTGTCCAGGAAACATCTCGTCCTGTTTTGGAAACTAAATAAGTGTTTCTTCTGGAACCCAAACAATCCCACGACCACCTTTTTAGGATATGTCTTTACCCCAATGACTTCTCTTGAATCTCAACTAGAAAACCCCAAATCATCCCCATTTCTAGTTATGAATGTTCCAGAAAACCAGAGAAATCTAGAACTAGTCCCATTACCCTTAAATCTGAACTAGAACATCTCCCTGTTTCTTATACTGGGAAACATATTCCAACATTCCTCTATAAATGTAATAAATAGCAAGTTTCCCCAATTCTGCTGTTGTAATCCATCCGGTTTTAGGTCAAGGAAACCAATCGAACTCCTGAACCCATGAAATCCATGATTTTGGTCAGGAAAAATTCCCGTTTCATCTCCTGGACAATGAGCAAATTTGGTCTAGAGCTCATTCTCTTCATTCACCTTAAGCTAAACTCAAGTATCCCTAAAGACGTTCCACTATCAACAGGTTTCTTCACCTCTCGTCTAGGACGCATATCGCTCAACTGGAAACAAAACCAAGGTCTCAGTTGCTATTTCCAGTTCATCTTGTGGAAACTGCCTCTGGTGTAGACTCTCTTTTAATCTCCTGAAGACTTTCACAAGTCCCGTCTCTGCTGCTGTACTGGAAAGTATTTATTTGAATCACTTCTCTATCATGGAATAGGGGCCTATTTTCTTCTGTCTGGACACTAACGGGTACTTGAAGGATAACTCCATATTAACTTTGGGACACCATGAAGGTGCTTTTGGACACTTCCTGTTTTAATACCCAGTGTCTCTTGGGACTGGACCCATTTCCTGAAAAAATGGCCCTTACTTCTGGGATATGAACCACTGATTTACTGACAAACGTTCCCTCTGGTTTAGGGATCACATTCCCAGTATGACCAGGATGTCTTCCATTTGTTCTGGAAAACGTCCCATTTATCCTGCCTTTACCTGAGGAGATTTCTGAGTACTGTGCCTGTTTACGCTGCTGATAAAATATCCTAAATCTCAGCTCTTACCTTCCATAAGTTCACCCATTCAGACACTAGCATTCGTCATTGGCTGTATAGACAGATAAGGCCCATTGTTTTTATGGATTTTTCATAATTTTGCTGTCTTTTGAAAAGGTAAACCATTGGTTTAATGGGATAGTTTTGGGATTTTTGCCATTTGTAAAGAGTTATATAGGAAAATGTCTGCCAAAAGACTAAAGAAGACTATATCCAAAGCTCCGGAAATGTCTAAGGGTCACTAATTATTGCTTTTAGGTTCATTGGTTTAATCAAAAGACTTAAAGGCATAACAAATTGGCAAATTGTGCTGTATTTCCCCAAAACATGTGCCCAACATTTAACAAAAAAAGGGTTTTTACAGACAAATTTACACTTGGTTTATGGTTGTAAAGATTAGTCCAAAAACTGATATTTAAAGGATGTGTTTTGGGGGAAATACGTCAGAAAAAAACCTAAAAATAATGAGCCTCCTCTACATAGACTCCACTCTTATCACCTGTCCTCGTACTGTAACTCAGATTAATGAGTGACTTCTAAACCTCACACTTTAAAAAAAACAGACCTTTTAAAGGTTTTTAGCTGCAGTCTGACGGCTCGTCCCTCCTGCAGCGAGCGGGGGATAAAACATGTTGTAAATACTGTAAATATCTCTCTGTCTGTTGGTGTCTGTCTGTGTGAGTCCGTGTTGAAGTAGGGAAACAGTAGCAGTTCTGAAAACAAAAAATACTACAATGAAAATAAACAATCTCATCATAAACGTGTGTCAGCAACCTGAAGAAAGCCTTGTTTATACCCCCCAAAAAACTCACATTTATAGCGTTTTAAAATGTACATATCGGAAGTTATTTAAGTACATTCACTTGAGTAGTAGAATGGGATACTTCTACTACATTTCAGAGAGAAATATTATACTTTTTGCTCCATTACGTGTTTCGGACAGCTGTATTTCAGTAGAATTTTAAGTACAAATGCTAATAAAACACAAAATAAATCTACCTACCAAACTTTGAAGAACATTTCCGAATGAATTTTAATTTAACAAATATTAATCAGTGTATGTTTAGGTATTTTTCTGCCAAATATTTACTGATATCAGCTTTAAAAAAGTGACAATTTGCTGCTTTTCTTTGTCTTGAATTACAGAAACCTAAATAAATTTGAAGTTTTGAGTGTTTGACAATAGTATATATTAAATGACATAATAGCATATCATTAAATATACTATATTAACTCACAGGGAACAATTTACTGCTTTAAGTACTTCCTAAATACACTTACTTCCTAAACTAACAAATTAACTTGTAATGGAGTATTTTTATTATTTCTATTAGTACTTTTACTGTTGTAAGAGTGTCTGAATACTCGACATGTGGAAAAAGTACTTTATCTCCTAATTTAAATATTAAAAAATCAAGGTTTCTGAGGGATGCTGACCAGCCGTGATGAAAGAGTTCTTACCTGTGAAGTCCATCCTGTAGCAACCGTTGCCCGGCAACAAAGGAATGTTATGGCATTATGGGATGGATCTCTTTCCTTATATGGTCACAATGTCAATCATCCATCCACACATCCGTCATGCTGTCTGTTGGAGGAGAGAAAGGTGTGTGTGTGTGTGTGAGTAAATAAGTGTGTGAATTAATTAACTTGTATGAGTTTGAATATTACTTCAAAGACATGAAATGATTTGTCTTTTTTTTGGGATAAATGCGTCGACTCGATGCAGTGCTGTGACCTTACCGTGACCTTTGACCTTAGCACGACCTCTCCATGGCCTTGACCTTATGGCCACAGCCGCTGATTAAGAGTTTTCACAGGAATTCTGTCACTTAAATCCACAAAATATAACAAATCTTTAAAAAACAAAACTAAGATTAGCATCACAAATTATATTTTGTTCAGTCAAATTGTTATCAAAAAAGTTCAAATTAATGCATTTAAATATGTATTAAACACCAAATCACAGAGGGAGCGTTATACTTATGACACTGATAAATAATGAGCTTATTTTTGGGATGCTAGCGAGGTAAACAGTCCAAATTCAAACACATTGTAGGTCAGGTGATAAGGGGGCACGACATCTCTAAGCGGTTGACCAATCACAACAGAGCACTGGGCTTGTGTGTATATATATATATATATATATATATATATATATATATATATATATATGATTAGTTTGAATAAAAAAGAAACACTTAATGTTACAAAATGTTCCGGTAAAGCTCTGTTAATCAGCGGCTCAGCCTCCACCTTCTTGCCTGTGATGAACCCTTTAGTCTTAATTAATTTCTCTTTGCTTTAAACCAAACCATGAGGAGCCTTCTGTTGATGCACTGCAACACCCGGGTCAACACACAGCTGAAATATCTCTGTTCTGCACTTCTAAAAATATGTTTTAGATAAGATAGAAGTGGCTGGCAGTTATACTAAAAACACATCCAAATGTTTTTAAACTGGCTTTCGACATATCATTTGGTTGATTTCTGGCAAAGAATTGTTTAAAAACATCACTTTACGTCAATTAAATAATGCTAAATATGCAAGTAACTGTTTCTTTTCTTACATGTAGGGTTTGTATCCAAGAAAATACAAAGATTTAGCAAAGTGTTTCCAAATTCCCTTTAAAAAAAATGGTAAGAAAAAATTCATTAAACTACCTAACGATGGTCATTGAACGCACCATGCAAACTTTTTTCCCGTTACGTGCTGCATTCAAGTCCCATACAAATAATTATGCTTATTTAAGTGACATTTTTGTTTATTATCCAGGTTGCAATGATTCTGGGAAATCAGAATTGACTGTATTAATTAACATTCAATTGTTGACAAAAGTAAAGGAAAAACGTCCCAAGATATTTCCAATTATCTTTCCTGGTACTTGAATGCAGCTTTAATTTACAGGTAACTTGGATTAATGAATAATTTCAGAGACAATCCATTTATTGCCATTGTCTTTTAAGCATAAACTTGAATTATTGGGTATATTTCAGGGTGTTTTGACCCGGGGGGGGGGGGGCTGCAGTTATTTGGTCCTTTGTGTGTTTTTATTAAATGCAGGATGTGTGTGTGTGTGCGATCATTTCATATCATGCCTCATTTTAGACGAGAACTGATTTTTTAAATGAATTGCGAGATAGGGTTTCAAACCTAAACGGGGCTGGTTTTCCTAAAGGGATTCTCAATATGATCAAAATATAATAAAATGTGAACTTTTAAAGACTGAAGTTTTGCTGCTTTAAAAAGTGTTATTTCATCTGGAAAATGAAGCAAGGATGCTCTGAGTATTTTAACATTTAAATTGAGTGTTTGTTGTGGGATCATTTTAGGAAAACTAGTCCCGTGTTGCAGTGGAAGGAGATGTTTTAACGATGATGTGTAACGTGTGTTGATATGAAACGTGTGTTTGTGGGATCAGGGTGACGGCATTCACAGAAAAATAAAAACCCTGATGTGGAGAAACGATGAATTCAACTGTGAAAATAAAAACTGGTGCAGAGGCATCATGTTATCCTGAAGTGTGTGTGTGTGTGTGTTGCTGTCCTTTACTCTACTTTAAAGAGTCCTCTCCTGCTGGTGTTCAGGTGTATATCAGTATGTAGTGTCTCTACTTTAAAGAGTCCTCTGCTGCTGATGTTCAGGTGTATATCAGTATGTAGTGTCTCTACTTTAAAGAGTCCTCTCCTGCTGATGTTCAGGTGTATATGTAGTGTATTTACTTTAAAGAGTCCTCTCCTGCTGGTGTTCAGGTGTATATCAGTATGTAGTGTCTCTACTTTAAAGAGTCCTCTCCTGCTGGTGTTCAGGTGTATATCAGTATGTAGTGTCTCTACTTTAAAGAGTCCTCTCCTGCTGATGTTCAGGTGTATATCAGTATGTAGTGTCTCTACTTTAAAGAGTCCTCTCCTGCTGATGTTCAGGTGTATATCAGTATGTAGTGCCTCTACTTTAAAGAGTCCTCTCCTACTGATGTTCAGGTGAATATCAGTATGTAGTGTCTCTACTTTAAAGAGTCCTCTCCTGCTGGTGTTCAGGTGTATATCAGTATGCAGTGTCTCTACTTTAAAGAGTCCTCTCCTGCTGATGTTCAGGTGTATATCAGTATGTAGTGTCTCTACTTTAAAGAGTCCTCTCCTGCTGATGTTCAGGTGTATATCAGTATGTAGTGTCTCTACTTTAAAGAGTCCTCTCCTGCTAATGTTCAGGTGTATATCAGTATGTAGTGTCTCTACTTTAAAGAGTCCTCTCCTGCTGATGTTAAGGTGTATATCAGTATGTAGTGTCTCTACTTTAAAGAGTCCTCTCCTGCTGATGTTCAGGTGTATATCAGTATGTAGTGTCTCTACTTTAAAGAGTCCTCTCCTGCTGATGTTCAGGTGTATATCAGTATGTAGTGTTTCTACTTTAAAGAGTCCTCTGTTGCTGATGTTCAGGTGTGTATCAGTATGTAGTGTCTCTAATTTAAAGAGTCCTCTCCTGCTGATGTTCAGGTGTATATCAGTATGTAGTGTCTCTACTTTAAAGAGTCCTCTCCTGCTGATGTTCAGGTGTATATCAGTATGTAGAGTCTCTACTTTAAAGAGTCCTCTCCTGCTGATGTTCAGGTGTATATCAGTATGTAGTGTCTCTACTTTAAAGAGTCCTCTCCTGCTGATGTTCAGGTGTATATCAGTATGTAGTGTCTCTACTTTAAAGAGTCCTCTTCTGCTGATGTTCCGGTGTATATCAGTATGTAGTGTCTCTACTTTAAAGAGTCTTCTCCTGCTGATGTTCAGGTGTATATCAGTATGTAGTGTCTCTACTTTAAAGAGTCTTCTCCTGCTGATGTTCAGGTGTATATCAGTATGTAGTGTCTCTACTTTAAAGAGTCCTCTCCTGCTGATGTTCAGGTGTATATCAGTATGTAGTGTCTCTACTTTAAAGAGTCCTCTCCTGCTGATGTTCAGGTGTATATCAGTATGTAGTGTCTCTACTTTAAAGAGTCCTCTCCTGCTGATGTTCAGGTGTATATCAGTATGTAGAGTCTCTACTTTAAAGAGTCCTCTCCTGCTGATGTTCAGGTGTATATCAGTATGTAGTGTCTCTACTTTAAAGAGTCCTCTCCTGCTGATGTTCAGGTGTATATCAGTATGTAGTGTCTCTACTTTAAAGAGTCCTCTCCTGCTGATGTCCAGGTGTATATCAGTATGTAGTGTCTCTACTTTAAAGAGTCTTCTCCTGCTGATGTTCAGGTGTATATCAGTATGTAGTGTCTCTACTTTAAAGAGTCCTCTCCTGCTGATGTTCAGGTGTATATCAGTATGTAGTGTCTCTACTTTAAAGAGTCCTCTCCTGCTGATGTTCAGGTGTATATCAGTATGTAGTGTCTCTACTTTAAAGAGTCCTCTCCTGCTGATGTTCAGGTGTATATCAGTAAGTAGTGTCTCTACTTTAAAGAGTCCCCTCCTGCTGATGTTCAGGTGTATATCAGTATGTAGTGTCTCTACTTTAAAGAGTCCTCTCCTGCTGATGTTCAGGTGTATATCAGTATGTAGTGTCTCTACTTTAAAGAGTCCTCTCCTGCTGATGTTCAGGTGTATATCAGTATGTAGTGTCTCTACTTTAAAGAGTCCTCTCCTGCTGATGTTCAGGTGTATATCAGTATTTAGTGTCTCTACTTTAAAGAGTCCTCTCCTGCTGATGTTCAGGTGTATATCAGTATGTAGTGTCTCTACTTTAAAGAGTCCTCTCCTGCTGATGTTCAGGTGTATATCAGTATGTAGTGTCTCTACTTTAAAGAGTCCTCTCCTGCTGATGTTCAGGTGTATATCAGTATGTAGTGTCTCTACTTTAAAGAGTCCTCTCCTGCTGATGTTCAGGTGTATATCAGTATGTAGTGTCTCTACTTTATAGAGTCCTCTCCTGCTGATGTTCAGGTGTATATCAGTATGTAGTGTCTCTACTTTAAAGAGTCCTCTCCTGCTGATGATCAGGTGTATGTCAGAGCAACAATTAAAAAGAAAACAAAGAATACAAATACAAATTAAAATATTGAAATGTCTGAGTTTTATTTGTAATAAAAAGCTGGAATGTTTTAGTTAAGTGTTTCTCACAAAGCGATTCCTAAATATTTCAGTGTGTGTGTCTAATTTAAAACACACACATTAGTGTTACACATTTTAAAGCATTTTATAATAACATATAAGGTCAAATATCATATAACGTTATAATTACCGGTCACTCCCGCAGAGATCATTGTGAATTTGAATTGTTATAGTTACATTTAATATTTTTACAATGCATTTTAATGTGTTTATTCAAAGATATGAGTGAAAATTATCCTTAAATCCCTTCAAACACACAAACATTTCTTAACAGCACCCAGTGACCAATTCACCTACAAATATTGCATTAAAAACAGTGCTTTTGATGCAATATAATGTGATCAAAATTAGGGATGCACGATATTGGTTTTTTGAAACCGATACCGATACCGATAACTTCCTGCTTCTCAAGACCGATAATAAAAAAAATGTTTACGCCACTAATTATTTTAACGCGATTAACGCATGTGTATTTTTTTTCCTCGGCCGCCCCGTAGTTTCAGAGCGCATCGAGTTTAAAATACCATCTACAAGCTGATGCTGACAGCCCCGCTCCTGCCGCCCGCTTGTGGCAGACCACACTTCCACGCTCACCGGCAGGCACCGACTGGCCATCTGGAGGACCGGGAGGGTGTGTGTATGTGTGGCCCGAGTGAGCGAGAGAGAGACCTTACGTGCATTGTTGTTGTTGCATCTGGTGCTAGCTAGCTGCGCTAACGGATATAAGGAGCTGCTTAAATGAAAACAGAGGAGCGACATTTCGCCACAACTGCGCCGAGCACTTGACTTTATGCAGGAAGCCAGACAGTGGGACATTGTACGAGAAGTCAGCACACTCAGCACGGATAGTGCACAACATGATTGCAGCGTCCAGGCAGCTCCGGTTCGAGCATATGCCTTGAGTTGCACATAGCTCCAACGCCCATACCACCGACGACATGTTTGTTTACTGTCCTGGCTTCACGGCCGCACACCATTTACGTCACAGCCAGGCATGAGTTAGGGAACGCTGGATTTGTGAAGAACTCCCCTCTTCCTAAACCACTAATACCACAGTACTGGCAAAACGGGATTATCGGGCCGATAATTATCGTGCATCCCTAATTAAAATGCATTTAAACGATGATACCCGCAGTGATTATTAAGTGTTATGGTAACTGACCTTATAGTTATGATCAAAAAGGCTCTGAATATTTAAGAGTGCTTATAACTAATATTATACAGTGATAAAAGCACATTATAGGTATTTTTACAATGCATTTAAGGCATGTGATAGTGTTACAAAGCTTTCAAGAGTCTACCAGTGGAAACGTGTGCAACAAAAGAAACATTTATAAATAACTAAAAAGGTACCTACCGTTATGAAATAAAACTCGTCGTTATTTCCTCACTAAAGTGGCAACGAGCGCTACGAGTTAAAAACGTTCATGAGGACAACAAAAACAAAATGGCTGCCTGACTACAATTTGACTCGCCTCTTCGTAAAGCTCCACATTATTCAGTTTTTAATACATTTTTTTCAGTTTCTATCCAGTTTTCTCGTCGTCTCCGCCCCATGATGAGCATATTTAAATACAAGTTTAAACTGAGTTAGTTAAAGTTAATTAATCTTCCAGTAAGGCTGCACTATTTGGGCAAACATAACTAAATTGTGAATATTTTGACTGATATTGCAACAACGATTTGACGCATGATATAAAAAAGGGAATTATTTTAATTAAATCATCATCTCAATTATATATTAAAATGATAATGGTGTGATTTTTTTAGGTGGATCTGAACCAAACTAGGGTTTTAATTAAGTAAAATACTGTTCATCTCTTACTTCATTCAGATAGTTTCAAATAAGTCATTTGGATACTACAGTAAAGTGTCTTTCTACTACTTTCCCGTTTAAATACTGCAGGTTGAAAATGTCTCTCGATGCAGATACAAAGGAGGAAATGTCATCTAACGGTTGTTCTTAGAAGCAGAAGTCCGACAGAGATCATATTCCCGATATGGAGATCGATTTTAAGCTTTGAAACGGATGCAGGGAGATGCGTTTGAGGCCGTAGGAGCTTTAAAAGTTGTTTTTTTTGCAGGAATATTGGACAAAAGCCAGTGAGAGGAGTAACAAGTCAAATCCAGTCCAGGTGGGAAATAGTCCACGGAGTCAAACATTTGAAAACACAAAGCATTAAATCAGATTTACTCTGGCGGCAAAAGTCCATCCTGTTAACGTGACGATATCCACTTTCCCAAAAATGCCAATAAAAACTGAACAGGCGGCTTTTTTTAAATTAAAAACCGCCTGAAAAGTTTTGGGAAAATGTTGAAACACTGGAACATTACTCCATACGTTTTCAGCTGTCAGAAAAATTCAAGAAAAAAAAATAAAGTATTCCTAGTTTTCAGGATTTCCCTTTTTCCTCATCAGAGAAGGGAAATGTAGTTTTTAGGAACAATCCCACGCTTCCCGCCCACATCTCCCAGAATCCACTGCTCATCCACAAACTCCACCTGCGTTATGACGTCACCGACCTGCAGCGGGGGAGACACAAAGAGAGCACATTATTTAGTAAACAAAACAAAAATATGAGGCTATTTTTGTTTTAATTTTGGTAAGAAATTAAGTTATTGTTAAAGGCAACAAACATTTTAATCAAAACCCAATAAACACAAATGTATTGTTGTCTTTTAACTGATTAATTCGCCTAAAATAATAGACAAATGAATACAAAATAGCATCTATTCTGAGCAGAGAATCAACACACACACATATACTTCCTAACAACACAGTAACACACACAGTCAAACACACACACACACACACACACAGTCAGTCACACACCTTTAAGAAGAGCTCGCCTTCGCCCTCTGCTGTGAAGTCGAACTTGGCCACGCCTCTAACCTCTGCCTGCTGGCCTGTGATTGGCTGAGCTGGAAACAGAAAGCATTCAACATTTTAATATATTATGTCTACTGATGGGAACGTGTGTGTGATGAGGAAGTATTTATAATTGATTCTCTGATCTGGATAGATTTAATTTTGTATTCATTTGTCTATTAATTTAGTCATATATTAATTATATTGATGGGAATGTGTGTGTGTGTGTTACCATTGCAGGGCTGTGTGAAGGCAGCAGGGTAGACCCCCTCCTTCCCCCCCAGCTTCCCTCTCCTCCAATCCGCATCGATGTGCTCCATCACCAGGATGAGCGCCCCCTGCTGGAAGGACAGGTCCTCTGCAGTCTGACCGGGGAAATCAAACAGAGCCTCGCCCCACTCCTCCACCTCAACACACACACAAAATGGATCTATTAGTGACATTTGGACAGGAAACATGTGCAAATCTGACATAAAATCTATTTATTACAAAATACAAAATTGTGTGATAATGTGTAATATTTAAAACATAAATGATCACTAATCCTAAATAAAAACAACTTTTGAACAGAAGGGATCTTTCTTACTGCAGTCTGAGAGTCTGGATCCAAGGAGGTCTCTGGTGCTGCTGAGGACACAGTAAATAATAAATAAAACTACTATTTACAGAGTACTTTAACCATGAAATATACATGGTGGTGCAGGGATGACGTATTTCTGTGTTGGAACATAAAAATATAGCAGAAAATAATCTCTATTCAAACGTTTATGATACTTATAGGTTTAGTTCAGCAGGATAATCTCCACATATTAACACATTAAAGCTAATGTTGGGCTATAAAGGAACTACAGCACGGTCACATTACTTCACGTCACCACCGCTACGCTAAAGGTGGCTAATGTTGGGCTATAAAGGAACTACAGCACGGTCACATGACTTCACGTCACCACCGCTACGCTAAAGGTGGCTAATGTTGGGCTATAAAGGAACTACAGCACGGTCACACGACTTCACGTCACCACCGCTAATCTAAAGGTGGCTAATGTTGGGCTATAAAGGAACTACAGCACGGTCACATGACTTCACGTCACCACCGCTAAGCTAAAGGTGGCTAATGTTGGGCTATAAAGGAACTACAGCACGGTCACATGACTTCACGTCACCACCGCTAAGCTAAAGGCGGCTAATGTTGGGCTATAAAGGCTCACCAGTACTTCCTGTCACGGTGCTCTCTGTTGTCGTCGGTTTCTTCTCTGGAGGCTCCAACACTTCGGCGAAGTTCAGTGGGAAGATTCCGATTCGTCCATGGATCTGGCCCCGCCCCCAGTCCTGACCAATCAGCTCCAAGAGGGCAATGACATCACCCTGAGAGAAGGTGAGCTCGTCCTCCTCCTCTCCCTCGTAGTCAAACAGGGCGACGCACCGAGGACCGCTGCACAGAGAGAGGATTATAAACACAAAATTAGATACAAATAGTTCATATTTAGTTATAAATTAGTAGTTTCCTTTACTTATGATATAGTAGTGTATCAATATTGTGTGTTACCTGACAGGAGGAGGGTTGAGTTGTTCTTTCTGCTCCGAAGACTCCACAGGAATAATGGACTATCGGACAAAGGAAAATTAAGTCTTGTAAAACAATTGTGGAAAACACATTTTATTTTTCTATATTAGTTCTAATAAACAAAGTGTGTTTTAGTACCTGTGAGTCTGATAGGCTGAGGTCCTCCAGGTCAGATTTTGATTGGCTCTCCTGATCCAGCGCAGGCTCTGGTTGGCTGTCCAGGTCCAGGAGACTCTGTGATTGGTCGATGACGGCGGTTTGACTCTTTCCCTCATCTGATTGGTCCTCTGAGGGGCTCGGGTCGTCCAGGACGATCAGCACTTCCTGTTTCTGAAAATTAAGACGTTATAACGAAGATCTATGATGGTGTTTTGTGTGTGTGTGTGCATATGTGTGTGTGTGTATACCTCGTAGCTGTTGTATAGAGGGTGTCCAGGTTTAGGGCGGGGGGGAAGAGGCGGTCCTCTCTTTGACGCTCGTTGAGGCGGCACCTGATTGGTTGACTGGTTGGCGGTGGAAACAGAGGGGGCGGGACTAGTTTTGGACGCGGGAGGAGTCTGATTGGCCGAGGAGCTGACGGCTGGAGGCGGCGGACGCCCGGGGGTGGATTTGATTGGTGGAGGACGAAGGGGGAGGAGCTTCACACCAGAAGGCCTGACGGGAAAGAGTGAGAATTATTATTATGCTCCATAGCTTCTCTTGTTACTGTACATTTGTAATTCAACATATATATTTTCTACTTTCTTTAATGCCATCGTATTTTCTATTGAGATGTTTTTTCTATTTCTTTTAATTTTTATTGTACAATGCCATGTTTTTTTATGCTGCTGCAACGCAAACATAACCCAATTTGGGGTCAATAAAGTACTTCTTCTCTAATCTTAAATAAACAATATAAAGAAAACTCATTTAATTTCACTTGTATCTGTACCGTGGAGTTCAGTTTGACTGTTGATCACAAATGTGCTTCTTACCGTGGAGGACGAGGGGGGTCAGACGTTGCAGTAACGCTGGTTTCTGGTTTGCTTTGGATCACAGGGCCTTTCCTCAGAGCGGGAGCGGGAGTTGGAGGTTTTATCGCGGGAGTTGGAACCGGTGAAGGTCCTGAGGGTCTCGGGGCCAGATTTGGAGCTAGAGGTGGAGAGTAGATCCCAGAATATATTGTTATTTCTTAGTGTTCATATCAGAGGTTAAAGGTAGACAATAACTGTAGAAGCCATATGTTAAAATGTATAATTTGATATATTATGTGTGATATATTTGAACATTGAATTTCTTTGTTATTAGTATCATTATATCATTTATTTAAACCAGCTGTTGTAAAATTGACGTCGTAGCCGACCGCAGCTGCTGCAATGAGAAGGAGAAAAGAATCACGGAGCAATATCGTTTTTTGAACTTTGAAAATATGTGTTTTGTACCGATACCTTTTCTTTAAGTAAAGGGTCAACCAAACTTACCTGAGACGTATTTGTGTTGGAGTCAAGCTTATGTGGATATATAATATAAATGTTTGGATTAGACGGAGCTACACTTTGCCGTTACTGTACATTTGTATTTCCACATGTACATTTTTTACTTTGAAATGCTATTTTATTTCTATTTGAGATGTTTACATTTTGGATTGTTTATTTCTAGTCTTTTAATTTCTCTATTGTACAATGTCATGTCTTTTGATGCTGCTGCAACGCAAACATTTCCCAAATTGGGATCAATACTTCTCGTCTTATCTTATCCACTCATTGTCCTAAGAGTTTTTGTTTTTTAGCTTTTAAGGTTATTTGTTACATTTACATTTGGTGTAAATACTTGTCTTTAGCATCTTATTTTAATGATAATTGTTTCTTAAAAATACTTGTTGTTTATTATCCTATACATTTCTTTGTTTACCTACTTTGCTGTTGTTTATGTTCGCACCACCAGACACCAAAGCAAATTAATCGTATGTGTAAATGTACCTGGCAATACACTTGATTCTGATATGTAGTTATCGTCTCTTCTTCTTTGTTGGTGTCAGATGTACTTAACAGGGTAACTATTGCACAGCCTGCAGATTTTCTTTCTTTGCGACAAAGCATTAAAATAAATTGGCTGATTTTGTAAACTCACACCCAAGAGCTGTGACGAACATAAATCTAATTAAAAAACAACTGGACAAGCTCCCTGGTTCCCACATGTTCATAAAGCAGCCAAAATAAGCCTGGATAGTTGCATAATGGGAATTCTCTCTGAAGAAGTCGACCAATCACATGGCTAGGCTGAACACACACAAACAAACACACACATTAAGCAACAGCTGAGAGCACACAACAACAGTGGAGCCTTTTTTCTTCTGGCACAATCACTGCATTTTTCTCTCTTTGACACACACACACACACACACACACACACACACACACACACACACACACACACACACACACACACACACACACACACACACACACACACACACACACACACACACACACACACACACACACACACACACACACACACACACACACACACACACACACACACACACACACACACACACACACACACACACACACACCACACACACACACACACACACACACACACACACACACACACACACACACACACACACACACACACACACACACCCTCCATGTTTGCATATTTTCTGCAACAACATGAGCACGATGTGTGTCACTGAGCTCTCAAACACTTCATTGTACTAAAGCTACATGGAACACACACACACACGTTTGCATATTTTTTGCAACAACATGAGCACGATGTGTGTCACTGAGCTCTCAAACACTTAATTGTACTAAAGCTACATGGAGCTAGTGTTCCCTCTCTCTCACACACACACACTCTCACACACTTACCGCTGGCTCTGCGTGGTGCGGTCAGAGTTGCTGGTTTGGTCGGGACGTCTGGACGGAGACTTCCTACTTTCACTATAACAACAAAATTCAGAAGAAATTAAGATTATCATTTTTTTTTTTAGACTACTACTCACTACTATTTCATTAGTTTGTAGTTTTTGTATTTATTTGTATTTATATTTTATTAGACTTTACAGCACTCGTTTTTGCTTTACAAATTAAAAGAATTATCAAAAAGACATTTTTTAAAAACTTTTTTTTTTTCTGTAATTGTGACCTACAATTGATCATTGTTGCATCTTGCTAAATAAACACATTTAAATAGAATAATATAATATAAAATATGTTCCCCACTGTTATAGAACCACAAGCGTATACATTAAAACAGTTTTTATTTTCCACATGTTACTTCCAGCCTATTAAACCTAGTTTATCAGAATCTGATCTGAGTGTCAGTTTGATATCAGTAGCTGGTAAAGGAACTACAAAGCCTCCCATTGAGAAATCCATCAAACTAATATCCGGCATATCAGCTGTGAGCAAGTCTGAAGTTCAGTCAATGACTCCAAACTAAACAGAGAGCTTATCTTTATTAACTGGGAGATAAGCAGCACGTTTTCCCCTGCCTCGAGTAAATATTTGTAAAATGAGCCGCTGTGACGACCCCCGTGTCCCTGTTATGTGTATGTCCCTTTAAGGATTCTCCCTTCCTCCCTATCAGCACTGACTGATGGCACCTGGCCGCCGGTAACTGAAGAGTGACAGGCTCCAGCCAGAGTCGTGCTCGCTCTCTCGGTTGGAGGGTCTGTTTTTGAGAGCAGCTAGCTACCTGACTTATATGCTTTTGTTTCCCTCCCTCTTATGGCGCATTTCCACTGCAGGGCCTCGCACGGCTTAGTACGGTATAGTTAGGCCTTGGTAGGCCAGGCTCACTTCATGCTGCAGTTCCATTACAGTTTAATAGCTGGGGCAGTAACTATAGCAACGCAGTGTAGGCGGAGCCGTGACGTCATCTTCAATGCGAAACCAACACAGCCGTTAGCTGTTAGCCCTCAGAGCTCACAGCTCCTCATATCTGTTCAGAAACTAGACAGAAGTGAAACAAGTACAAACCACAGACTGCCTGTGTCATGGCGAATACAGTCGCTGCTTTATTTATGTCTGTAGGCCGTTGTTGTGAGTGTGGACGGTCGGAGCATATATAACGTTAGCTTAGCCGATGTCCATTCAGAAAACATGCATTTTAAAAGGGTTTTTCTCTGCCGTCTGTCTGCAGACTTGTTCATGGTTTTTACTAACCGGTGTCAGTATGTTGGTACTTCGGCATCATTTTGAAACGTGTGTTACAATTCAATCACGGTCAAATATGTTCATCTTGTTGTAGTTGTAGCCCCCTTGCCAGCGATTCTCTCTCTAGTTTAGCATACTCAGCCTGACTCAGCCCGGTTGTTGGCCCAGAAAGAACCACGATTTTGGAGAGCCAGAAAAACTGTGAAACGGTACCCGTTAGCCGGAACTACGACTAGTGGAAACGCAACCAAAAACGGGCCGGGTTTGCACGGCACGCTTAAACAGCGCTATAAAAATCCAATGTATTATTATAAGTGACTGTTATTTTGTATATTGATTGTTGTGCTTTTATTTATGTCTTAATGTGTGCATATGTATAAATGTGTCTGTTGACTGTGTATATATTCATCTTCTTATACTTATTTGTATATATATATATATATATATGTATTTTTTGTATTGGGGATTGTGGAAAACGGTTTTCGATCTCTCTGTCTGTACACACAAACGTAAAGATTGACAATAAAGTTGACTTTGACGTTAATAACCCTCACCAGTTTGTTTCGCAGCGTCCTGCGTCTCCTCACTTCCTGTCTCAGAGTGAGATCCACTGCTGAGCTCCACAGAGGGTCTGGGGGGTAAAGTCGGGGTTCTTTGCCCAGTCGAGGAGCTCTTTTCCTGCGGAGGAGCTCCGACGCTGGCCCTGGGGGCGACTGGAGGTCTGGGTGGAGGTTTGGCTGCCGTCTCACTGACAGAAGGGGTGAGTTTGGGGTGAGGAGGAGGTCTAGGGGCGGGAACAGGACCAGCAGAAGGTGGAGGGGGGTCCGTAGTGGTCTGAGGTTTTGGGGAAATTGAAGGTTTCTCCGTGTTTCTCACAGGAACCACAACAGGTCCAGATTTCAGGACACAGGAATCAGGTTCAGGGGTTAAATCTGTCTCGGCACCCTCCTCCCAGAATCGCTTGCAGGACGGTTTTGCTGCTTGTGCAACATTTTTGGGTTTCGGGGCGACAGTAGGGGGCGCGGATTTGTTTTTTTCGAGACGAGGACGTGGCTTGGGTTCAGGTCGAAGTTCAGGTCGGGTTTCAGGTCTTTTTGTGGCGGGAAAATCTCCACAGCTCCCATCAGCCACCTGTTGTTGCTGCTCAAAGGCTTGTATCCTCGCTTTTAGCGCCGCCATGTCGTCTTCTCCCTCCTCCTCTTCCTCCTCGCTCTCCGATTGGCTGCCGCTGCCGCTGTCGCTACGGTGATCGGGGAAACCCCAATCGTCGGCGCTGAACGCCTCGAGAAGCTCCTGAAGGTATTTCCCTTGACTCACTTCCTGTTTAGCCGGGTCACTTCCTGTGCGAGCAGCTAGCGTAGCCGCGCCGTCGTCTCGTAGCTTCACCAGAGTCTGAACTCTGACCTCACTGCTGATTGGAGGAGGAGCGCTGAGCCTGGAGCGGGGGCGGGGCTTAGGACGCTCCAATGGGATGCGAGAAGAAGAAGAAGTGGAAGGAGGAGGAGCTTCTACTTCAACAGGCCGATCCCATTGGTCCGTTTGAGAATCAGGAGTGGAGGGAAGGTGTGTGCTTGGTGCCACGCTGAGTGCTGATTGGCTGGCTGAGATGGTGATGTCATCAATGTGAGACTGTTTGGGAGGGCTGGGGAAAGGCGGTCGTTGTGGTCTTACTGGTCGTCTCACTGTAGACACATTATTATTTATAATTGTTAGTGTACAGTTTTATTATTACGCTGTTGTGTTGGATTTTTGTAACTCTGGCACAACAATTTCCTTTGGGATAAATAAAGCCCTATCTTATCTTATTTGCATTTTCAGAAACTGGCACACACATCAAATGAGATACAGTTAAATCTACAAGAATATATATAATTACTATGTGTATTACTATTCTGAGGGTGATTGATGTTATGTGTTGTTTACCTAACTGATTTTTCAGGTCTCAGGCTCGAAAATGACATTCCCAGAACAAATTCCTTTCCTTCTAAAAGGGGTCAATTAATAATCTTTTTTCTCAAAGGATAAACCTGTGAGTTGGATGTAGAAGTGTCAGAATCAATATAGATGTTTTTATTTTAAAGTAAATTCAGATTGAACATAGTAACGACATGTAAATTATAGTGTCCGTCCAAAATAAAAATTACTTGTAGTGAAAACTAACCTTGGATGATGGGATGGTAGACTCAAGCTTTAGGAATCCAAAGTACAACATATAATAAGTACCCTGTATCAAGATTGATGCAAAACAAGTGACATTTGACCTTTTTAGAGAGGTTTAGCAACAAAAATAAACTCTGGGGTCATTTGGGTGCATCTGCCGTTTCTCTGGAACCCATTGGTCGATTTTGATGATTGACACCTCTTTTGAACCGTTAGAGCCAATGGAATCGAAGGGAAGTTCCTAAATCCACCTACACGTTATCAAATAAGGAGTGAGAGTGATGAACCGAAAGCTATGTTACGCTCTGAAATCTGAAAACTAGTAAATATGATGATGGATTATCAGTAATCATTTTAACGTGACAGACACATTGGATTAACCTTCAGCAGCGTTGTTATCGTTTTAATGCCATTGAACACGAGGGCTCATTTAGACGCTTCTTGTGAGACTTGTATTTTGTTTCAGTAAAAATGGTTAATATCATCAGTTAGCTGAGTTTCTTCCCGTTAGGTGGGTATGACACATTCATAGTTTGTTCAATGTTAAGAAGCCCTGAGACACAGTTTCGTGAAAAAAACCCCGAAGCTATCTAGTAATAAGTGAACATGTTTCTTCTTGATCTCTTAAAGCGTTAAATGAACTTTACTTGTATATATTTACTAGAAAATAATTGAGCTTCCTCTCACCCTGGGGGTCGGGGGCAGATCCTGGGTCAGTCTGCGTGGCGATGGTTATTGTAGAAGCTAGACGTGATGATAATGATGATGATGAAGAGCTGGATGGAAGAGGAGGAAGAGGAAGGGTCTGCTCCTGTGTCTTCTCCCTGATCACCTCCTCATAGGATGGAGGAGGCTGAGAAGGAGAAATGCATGTGTTCAATAGGTTGTAGTGCATGTGAATGGTCTGCGAAGGCAATCATCTCTGTCTGAAACGCCTCCTTTGTTTAGTTCCAGATCACAGACTCACCTGAATGGACGGAGGGATGGTGGGACCCCAGATCTGAGCGGCAGGAGGGGGGGGCGGGGGGAATCCTGCAGAGGCCCCGGGGAACCAGGAAGTGGAGGACAGAGGCTCCGCACACAGGATGGTGATCTCCGGGCGTCTAGAAACAAGCACCAACAACAACAACAACAGGAAGTCAGCGACTGAGAAATATAAGGTAAGTCTAATTGAATTATATATATATGTCACTGTCAGTTTAAATCAGGGGTCGGCAACCTTTTTGATATGAAGTGCCATTAAAAAAAAAATTGTTATTAGCGTGCCAACGATCGAGAATTATCAACGGGGGGGGGGGGGGGGGTTGAGGAGCTTGACGCTCGTCAACTATTAAACTATTAGCAGGAGGGCGGGGGAGCCTCGCTGCGGGGAAGCAGTGTGTGGACCTGTCAGCGCAACGTATGATGCCGAATTTAACACATTTAAATAATTGGTTTAAACGGCATAATAATGACGATCGTCCGTTCTGTGATTCTCCAGAACACACATGTTATGATATTAGGGTCACGCAGAGTGAGATGAGATCGCTGCCCCTTTAAGGGAGAGAGAGAGGGGTGTGGCGTGTGCATGTGTGTGTGTGTGTGTGTGGATGGTAGAGCGACAGGGAGGGAACGTGTGGATGTTTCTGGAAGTGAAACGAGGAAGCAGAAAAACAGAGGTCTGTGATGTATTTTGTGAAACAGAAGAACAGCTGAATAAATGCGACGGCCTCCCAAGAAGAGCTCGCCTCTCTCCAGTCATTGAAGCTAAAGTGGGTTATTGAACCTGAAGCTTGTTGCTTCTGCCCTCCTCGACTACGGTCTGGGAGCCGACAGGGAAGTTCAACACACAGACGGCCAGTCCGCCCCTTTGTAGCATGTGATTTCGATGAGAGATGAGCAGATCGCCCCTGGGCTTTCCACTAAAGACACAGCCACGCAAACACTGCAGCATTTGTACAGCTCCTTGTGGGTACTGCAGTTAGTGAAGTGCTTTCCTCGTAACGACCAGCACCACGGAGGAAAGCGGCAGAAAGTCACCTGGAGTTAAAGAGAGCGGGGCTGCGCTGCGTGCATGGCTTCCTTCTGCAGGTAATGGGGAGACGCTCTCTGTCTCGTTCAGGATCCGAAAATACAATTTAAATATTTTGCACACTTACCTAGTGTGCCACTGGTTACGGTGCCGCGTGCCAGGGGTTGCCGACCCCTGGTTTAAATTCACGCCTAGCTACAACATATTTCTATTCTATTGTATTAGTTTTATTGTGTTGCACTGTTGGGGGAGCCTGGGACCTCAGATCTTTATTGACATAACTACAAATGACAATAACAGCGACTGAGAAATTCATGACATGACACATTTCTAAACATAACTAGTAGATATTTTCTAGTTTTCTGACTTTTAATCCTTTTAGCTTAAAACCACCAAAAAGTATTATTTTCTGTGTACTTTAATGCGAAAAGGGATATTTGTAACCAGTCGGACATATAAGTCAGTGAGAATCAACATGTTATGTGTGATGCATTGTGATTTCTTTGTGCAGGAAACCAGGGAAATCACCTTTTTCTTTACCCAATGTTTTTGTACTTTATGTTTTTTGCCTGCAACAAACGACTCATTTGATAATCGATGAATCTATCGATTAAGGAAACGATTAATCGACTATTACGCCTTTCTCAAACGCTCTTATTTAGCCATCAACTTTTAGATTTAGCTTGAGGGTGTTTTAGGCATGTGGAAACTAACAATGAAGACAATAAAGATGAATACTTGATTCAAAAATGCATGCATGTAGCAGAGTGTGTGTGTTGTATGCATGTAGCAGAGTGTGTGTGTTGCATGCATGTAGCAGAGTGTGTGTGTTGCATGCATGTAGCAGAGTGTGTGTGTTGCATGCATGTAGCAGAGTGTGTGTGTTGCATGCATGTAGCAGAGTGTGTGTGTCGCACACAGACGGGGGAGAGAGCTCTGTCGTCTGGATTGGAAAGATCGAAAATACATCATAGACGCATTTGTTTGTCTTTTTGCGTATTAGAAACGAGTTGGCGACACTAAGACATGACATATCTTTTTTAAATGTCTCCAGTACCGATAAAAAGACCGATAACGTCGGAGCTTAACGGCGTAAACCACGTGATGACGTCACCAAGGAATCGACGACTGAATTAGTTGGCAACTAATTTGGTCATCGATTTGAATCGATTAAGTGGATTAGTTGTTGCACCCCTAGTGCACCCTTTATCACAGGATCTGATGCAGCTAAAAGGATGAAACGACACAAACAAAAAGCCCAACTCTGCCCTGAGTGATGCACACGGGTAGTTTCTGAAAAGGGAATTTAGTTCAGACTTTGTAAAACTATTTAAAAATAAGTTTATAAAAGCTTCCAAATCCAGCAGGAGGTTGATATTGAATCCATTAAAACTCCTCGCACGAAGATATGGACTGTAAACACCAAACATCACGCTTGCTTGTTTACTAAAATATCCCGTTTTCCTGACTTGACAAATAACTTAAAGAGCATCAACATACGACAGAGGAGACAACTAGATATCTGTGCTATATTTAAAAAGCAAAGATACAAAATCAAACAGTAATCTCATACGATTTTAGGGAAAATGCTCCCTATGGACTTTTAGCTTCAGTGTGTGTGTGTGTGTGTGTGTGTGTGTGTGTGTGTGTGTGTATCTCACCTCCTGTCTCTCTCTCTCTCTCTCTCTCTCTCTCTGTCTCTCTCCCTCTCTCTGTCTCTGGACGACTCAGAGAGAGACGTCGTCCTGGTGGAGGCTGAGAGACACACAGGAAACAGTTCATATAAAACAATACTGACAAACAAATACTTACAGATAAAGCCTTTAATAAGTTAAAAAAAGTGCCGCTATCAGATTGCTCTCCTGAGTTTCCGCAGTGCATGTTCTTGTAATATTTTGGTACAGAAAGAGTCTGACGCTCATCAGGGTTTTTTTAATAGGCAAGTTTATTTATATAGCACCTTTCAGCACAAGGCCATTCAAGGTGCTTTACAACAATGAAAGACATTCAGACAAAGGCATTTAAAAACAGTAAAAGATATTAAAAGAAAGTTTTCCCCGAAACTAAGAAAATACCCAGTCGTACCTAGTAACCCACTATAAAATAGTCGTACCTTGTATCCTACTATAAAGCTCACAATAGTTAAGAAAATGTACCCAAAAGTCCTCGAACTATAAGACCCTTTAGTTTTTTCCGAAACTAATAAAACTGGCCTCTAGTTTGACCCACAAACTATTTAAAAGTACTTTAGCTAAGTTGACCTGTGTCTTTCTAGGACTGTGTCTTAATAGAAAGATATAGTCTGAGTACTGAGGCGCTGATCTTGTTTATAAGATGTATACATTCGAGAGAGACAAGATGGTGGCGCGGACGTAAGCGACAAAGCTGTCTCCGCCGTCTGACGCTCTATACTCAGATTCCTGGAGTCATTACACCGTTTTTTGAGGAACAGAAATATTGTTTTCTGGAATCACTTTAACGGGGAAATCGGCATTTTTGGTTTGAGTAAGAGGGCGCAGCGTCTCTGATTAAACCCCGATGCCATCATAGTTTCCGTTTAGTTTCCCAGATTGTCTTTATGTACTTGTAAACCCCTAAAGTAATCTGCACCGTGATTACAGTGTGATTTTCAGCGACATGGTTCTCTTTGTGTTTAAATCTGCACTAAAGCACACAAAGACGAACAAGATAAAGAACAAGAACTCAAAACGCATATACTCACTTCTCTTGATGGCCGCTCTGATGGACGACAGAGGACCCTGACTGCAGAGAAAGAGAAAGAGGAAAACATGAGTCACGTTGTTTAACCTCAGCCGACCCGACTGCAGTTTAATGAAACCCGATATGTTTATTTCTAGCTCTCTTGGAAAAAGGACCGATCCTTTTCACAAACAACTGCTGTGAACATCCTTTTCCATCCCAGAGGAGACACTCATAGACAGTATCTTCACAAATATATATTCATAGAGTGGTACAGAAGCACCCTTAATACCTTTATATATCATCTGATAACAACAATGTACATGTTGAGACCAGAGAGACAATCACACGTCCAGAAATAAAAGCTTTTGACGTACAAGATTTCTGAAGACAAACATGTAGTGGGCTAATGAAGAGGATTACCGAGCTTTGAAAGATGTTAACTGTTCGAAGATAAGCACATCTCATGGCCTTTTTGTAAGATATATTATGAATGGTTTAACTGTTTTGTATCGCTTGCTACATGCAGTTAACCCCCTCCTGGATAGCATCTGTTGCTAGCATCTTTAGCTGAATCCTCAGAGAGATTTTTTGGAAAACTGCCCTGAAATTCCCTGCTGCCTACTACCCGAACGTGTCCAGCAGTTGCTAGGCAGGATAGGAATCAAGAGACTCACCCAGGAGACAGAAGGCTTTGACTTTCTGTCTTTTAAATCGTCTCTGACTCTCTTTTAACACACACACACACACACACACACACACACACACACACACACACACACACACACACACACACACACACACACACACACACACACCACACACACACACACACACACACACACACACACACACACACACACACACACACACACACACACACACACACACACACACACACACACACACACACACACACACACACACACACACACACACACACACACACACACACACACACACACACACACACACACACACACACACACACACACACACACACCACACAACACACACACACACACACACACACACACACACACACACACACCCACACACACACACACACACACACACACACACACACACCACACACACACACACACACACACACACACACACACACACCACACACACACACACACACACACACACACACACACACACACACACACAGAGAGAGAGAGGAGTGTGTCAGACGGGAGGAAAGTAGATCCGGCAGAAAATAGTCCCAAGCTGGACTGTACGAGCAGAACCAGTTCACCTACTCTGTGTTCTTTCACATGTTTAAACTCTAACAGAACAGCTGATTTATCCGTCAGTAAACTTGCTTCTTTCTGAATCACGAGGAGTTTCAACATCAAGCGCATCTCGCTGGCTCAACCTCGCTCTGTCCATGTGCGTCAAATTAAACTCGCATCGAGTGCCAGGTGAGTCAGAGGAGAGAAGATGAGAAACGTACCTGAGACGATGCTCTGGTTTACGTCGACCTGGGAATAGAAAGAGATTGTTAATAAAAGGCCTGAACATTATGTTTTTTTAAATGTGGTTGTTTTGGTGTAAAAATGCTTCAAGGACTTACAAATGCAATTTTCCTGGACTTTTTTACTTGTATTTTGATCCATCTTGTTTTCCAACTATTTAATATATGTTCTGTGCTATGCACAAGAGATGGTTACACAGATCAAATACTTATTCAATCAGAGTCAAATAGGGGATCGTGCAACAACAAGAGGCACCAGTACAAATAAAAGCAAGACATAATAAATAAATAATAAATAAAGCGCTTTGAGCACCAGAAGCGCTATACAAATTAAATGTATTATTATTATAACAAATAAGTAAACAAAACATCAAAATCTATATAGTTTACAATTGAAATGACATAATACACATAATAAAATGAGAATTTGTCTTTAATGTTGTTTGAAGGAAGGTTTGTAAGCAACGTGTCCCTTCTGTTTGTTCCTGTCCTCTGCGGACAGGAAGTGATGCGTCCTGTGTTTCCAGTTTGTTCTAATTTACAGTAAGAGTCGTGGTGCAAAATAGCACCACCTACAATCCAAAAATAATCCCAGGAGAGAACGATGCCACTGTCCATGTTGGCACTGAATCACAGGTGACTTCTGGGAAGTGTAGTTTAACAGTATCATTAAGAAGCGACAATCAAAAAGTCAAAGGTAAATTACTTTGTCTTCAACCTCGCCTCATAGTGAGAAAATAGATGCATAAGTAAATAGTTTAAGCTGTTTTTCTGCATCCGTGTGCATTTAGTCATCTCCTACCTCTTTTCTTTTAGTGATAATCAGGTCGGCTTTACGTCCTGTAGTCTCCAGAGAAACAAAATACGAACGGTTTTGGAAAATAACACGTCTTTTTGTTAAAAAAGCAAAAAAGTCCTTCTTCTCTGCCTCCAGTCTCTCTCCGTCTCTATAAACTCTGACTGGACCTCCTGTGTTCCGTCCCAGCCTCCCGATTGGCCGAGAGCACCCAGGAAGTGGCGCTGTGATTGGCTGCTGAGGGATTCTGCTGCAGTCATCAGGAGTTTTTAACACTTCCAGATGTTTGCTCTGCTGCAGGCTGGAGCAGCGTTCAAACAAGCAAATGCACAGCGCAGCAGATTTTCCTTTAACGCTCAACGTCATCGGTTGGGTTTCTTTTTCGGCACTTTATATGAGTAATGGGTCCAAAGAGTACGCGGCTATCAACTCAAAAAGGGTTTAAATGTCTTTCAACTCCTCTTCACTTGACTTTTTAGACTGGTTTCCAGATGGTTACAAGAACAAAGCTGTACAAAGATGATGAAATTGGACATTTAGCAGCTAAAGAGACGTTTATGGATGTAGGAAGGGACTGAAACGGAGCAAAAAGATTGTGAATATTGGAGTTAAGCATGTATCAGGTGGACAGGTACACCGCTCGGGCTTTATGGTTATTTTCATTATTGATTTGTCTGTAAAAAGGGTGGAAAATAATGAAAAACTGACCATCAAAATGTCCTAAAAATGTTCTTAACCCTACACTTCCTTACCCAAAGACACTGAGATGATTACGACTTACAAACAAGAAAAGCAGTGTTTTTACTTCAATAAATAACTTCATTATTATATATGCTAACCTTATTGTTTTAGCACGTAACGCCACTTCATGTCAAGGCTAATATTTCTCTGCTTGTGCCGTCAAGACACAACTTTTGACATGACTATTCAAAACATAAATACTCATTTTTAGAGAAATGTAAGTTTGTGTTTGTCCGTTTTGGAACAGAAAGAGTTGATACAAAAATAGATAAAAACCAAGAAGTGTAAAAGTCCTAAAACATAAATAAAATAGGAGATAACACCAAAAATATGAAAAATACTATGAGGTACTATTATAATAAAACCTTTACAACTGATTTGAAAATGAAAGCTGTATAATTCATTCAAAATGTCCACGAGCCAAAACATCTTTCTCCTTCCTTTAAACCTGAGAACATATTTTCTGTTGACTCATAAAAATGTAAATATTTAAATAACAACAAAGCTGAACTGCATTTCCCAACTGCAACAGGGAGGGGCGAACACATTGCATTTAACTAGGGATGCACGATATTGTTTTTTTTAAACCGATACCGATAACTTCCTGCTTCTCAAGACCGATACCGATAACCGATAATAATATAATATATATATATATATTAAATGTACTTGTAGTTTTTGCACACCTAGTGGTAAAAAAAAGACTAGTAGTGAGCAAATGACATGAGCATTACTACTATGAACAAAACAAAGCCAAGAACAGTTTTGACTCTCGTCAAGCGCCATCATTTCTATGATGAAGTTAGAGATCGTTTTAGCCCTGGGGTCGTCTCTGGCAAACTGCTTGCCTTTTCCAAAAGCCTCGTGGATAGGTAAAAGCCCCGGTGCCTTTGCAGCTGGCTTTGGATTCGCCGCTAGTTTAGCAGCGCAGGCGTCTTCGTACGCTTTTAACACACCATCGTAGCGATGGCGATGTTTCAGGTGACTAATCAGGTTGGAAGTATTATAGCTCGTTGCCTTTTTCCCTCCTCGTGGAACTTCTGCATTTGTTAATACAAATAGCAAGCGAACTATCTAACTCTGAAACTTTGAAATAGTCCCATACTACCGGCGACATGTTTGTTTACTGTCCTGGCTTCACGGCCGCACACCATTTACGTCACAGCCAGGCATGAGTTAGGGAGCGCTGGATTTGTGAAGAACTCCCCTCTTCCTAAACCACTAATACCACAGTACTGGCAAAACGGGAGGAGCCGAGTGAAAAACAAGCGCCCCTCATCCCAATCCACCCACCGCAGTATTTTTTTCTTTGTTTTTACCCAAAAAATATATTGTATATTATCGGCGCTATTAATACTGGTATCGGGTTTATCGGGATGACGTCATAATTCCTAATATTTGACCGATAATTATCGTGCACCACTACATTTAACCCTCCGGTATCATTCGATTGGACTACGCAAATTAGTCATTCGAGACAAAAATGTCCACTGCAAAAGACTTTGATAAAAACATTATATTAAAAGGTTTTTTTCACAACTTTTTTGGGTTCAATCTTTAAAGCAACTTCCGCCCTAATAGAAAATACCAAAAATGTAATCATTTTCAGGATTTTAACCCTTTAAATGCCATTTTGAATACATGAAACCGCTGTTTTTATTCATGATGAAAACAGAGGAAATGAGTTATTTTCCAAAACATACATATCTGGGGATTGGCTCTTTTTTTTAACACAGTCTTGGATATGTCAAAGATTAGCAACAAAATTGATTTTTTTGCATTATTAGTTTTTGCACAAAATCAGATTAAACAAAAAAGTTACAAATTAGTCATTCGGGACAAAAATGTCCACTTCCAAAAACTGTTCTAAAATGACAGATTAATATTTTGTAACACTTTTTGGGGTTAAATCTTTCAATCAACTTCAGTCCTGATCAAAAACACCACATGTTAAATTATGTTCAGGATTTTAACCCTTGAACTGCCAGTTTGAAAACATGAATTTGCATTTTCTATGAAAAACATGCACAAAAAGGCAGTTATTTTCCATATAATAAATGTTGGGGGGGGGGGGTCGGCTTTTTTTTTTGAACACAGTCTTGGATATGTCAAAGATTAGCAACAACATTGATTTTGGTTGATTATTAGTTTTTGCACAAAATCGGATTAAACAAAAAACTCACACAAGGACAAATGTAACTATTTTCCTCCAATCCCCTGACATTACAAAATGCATGATTTTATACCGGTATGGCGGAGAGATCAAAAGATGTGGTTATAATGGGAAATGTGTTTTGGACATTTTTGTCTCGAATGACTAATCTGCGTAGTCGATTTGTTACACAGTGAATTAAAGACCGATTTGAAAAATTGAAATTGGAATTCCAAAATAGATCGAGAAAATAGCCTTGTTACAAAAAATCAGGCCATTTGCACCAACACAACCAAAGTTATTGCAAAATGAAAAGTGAAAAATGACCCATATGGACAAAAACGTCCACAGTGATACCGGGGGGTTAAGTCATGAACCACAGAGCTGGAGCGCTGCACAAAAACTAAATACTTTCCCATGTGAGGCTTCATTAAATGCTTCCAAATGGTTCCAATCAAAGACTATTGGATGTCCAATTTTTAAAGATGAACTGATGAAAAGTCACTCCAAATGATCCCATCTATTACACAACCACAGCTGACAAATCAACACATGCTCCTAATCTTGACGTGTGGCGCAGTGGACTAGTGCGTTGGTGTTGGGATCAGGGAGTCACAGGTTCAAACCCCACTGCAGTCAGCATGTCGTTGTGTCCCTGAGACCCTTCACCCCAAAGTGCTCCAGTGGGGATTGCCCACAGTACTGAGTATGTAAGTCGCTTTGGATAAAAGCGTCTAACAAGTGACATGTAATGTAATGTTTTAACACTCTTTCTTTACATATGAACATGTGTTTATTGTTTGCCACAGAGAAGGACAGATGTTATTTGTGATGTTGGATGTTTTTAAAATGTGTTTCTGTAACGCACTTCCCCGTCAGATTAACTGTCTCCTATTGATTGAATTTGAACTTCCCATTTCTACTACTTTTGTTTATTCTAAATAAGTTGGAAATAAGTGGGAGATACAGATACAACTTATAAATGTCATTTAATATCAATTAAAGCTAATTAAATCATGATATAGCACATATTGAAGACATCTAGTCAAGGAACTTTTTATCTGGGAACGTTTTGCCTTTTTATGAAAGCTGACGGAGGATTTATTAATTGACAGAAAGCTAATAATTGCCCGTAGTTTTGGTTTCCAAACATCCAAAATGCAAAGAACAAATCTCCCTTATAGAAACCCTTAAAAGAAAGGAGACAAATATTTGGAACAAAGGATCATTATAATGCATCGAAAGCTATAAAAAAAGGGTTGAATATTCAGAAACCAGTTAGATTTGGCTTGTAAAATAGATACTAAAATGTAGATTT